TCGACATAGAACCACAAGTCGACCTGATGCAAAATAAACATGCTTCGCATCGAGCATTGTTGACTCAAATCATGCACATACCCGAGTCGAGCTCCAGCAGTTCATCATGCGATGAACAAGATTGTAGCCTCTCTGAGGCTGACGACAAAGAGTCGGTGCCCATCATGCTACGGGATGCGCTGGGCTTCGATGACCATACAGACAGCAGCGAAAATCAAGAGCCGTGCGATCTCTATACGCAACATGAAACAACAGACAACGAGATGTCCCACCGATGGAGTATTAGTTCTTGGTCATCATCCCTCCACAACCAGCATTCTACAGACGAACAGTGCGGGCGCAGTGTTGATGACATCCCACCACCTCGCCATTCCGCTGATGGGAGTGAGTTTGCAACTCATTCATGTTCTGCGTCGTCCTGTACTCGATCTGAGACTGGTTACCCGCCCGCGAATCCAGTGACACAGACATCATCACACGACTTGAAGACAGAGGCTGTGCCACAAGCCAATCTTTATACACTGACTAGTGCCCCTAGCTTAGCCAGGCTCGGGGGCTGGGACTCCAAGCGAGTCAGTCAGCTCTACATCCAAGAGATCGCTAACGGCCGAGGGCTTGGTCTCCCCTTGCCGGCTATACGTGCTTCTCCGGAGCCCCAACAGCTAGCCGTTCAAACGAAGGAAGACGACGGGTCTGAGGACACGAGTTCGGTCCCTCATAGCACAGGTATGCCTGCCTCTGAGCGGATCAGATATGCAGCCAGTCTCGTCATGCGGGACGACTGGGAGCATGCATCTCCTTCGATCATGGATTGGATGCAGGTTGCTGCCGCGGATGGTTCAACTCCGCAAGGCGAACGAAGCGATTCAGCGTCTAGACTAAACAATGCTTCCACGCCGCGGCTGGACACGTCAAGCGCCCGGGATCCATCGCAGGAAGGGACAGAAGAACGTCTAAGACTGGCAATCAACGTCCAGGTCCCTCAAGACTCGCATTTCCATGAACATAGCTCGATCCTTGATCATGGGCAAGCGGCAACCGACATCGCGCAGCCACCCACTCAATATGATTCAGCCGCCACTATCGCAAACCAGCGTTTCAGCACCTATATCAATGGGATATTCTCTCCTTTGGACCCTATAAATAGCACAGGGAGCAGTGAAAATTCATCTCTGCAGCGGCTTGAACCGACGCTATCTCCGGAGACGCTGCACTCGTCTGCTACATCACTGGCACATTCAAGCTCTGAGCATCTCCAGTCCAAACCCCAGTCGCCTTCGCCCGAACAACGGCGGCTGAAGAAGCGACGAAACGTGATCAAGGAGCTCGTTGATACTGAATACACCTTTGGTCGTGATATGAAAGTTGTTGACGATATATATAAGGGAACCTCGAGTTCATGTTTGGACCTCTCTTCCGAAGACGTCAAAGTTCTCTTCGCAAATTCCGACCAAGTCGTTCAGTTTTCTATGGCTTTCCAAGACGCCCTGAAAGAAGCCGCGAAAAGTGTCTATGTAATGCCAAAGTCGCAAAGATGGAGCAGCAAGCGCAGTGCGCGACATCGCCAAGCTTCAAGGAACGAAGACAAATCAGACAACATGGGCCTCTCGGACCATGAGAAGGATCAAATGACATTCATTGGACAGGCTTTTGTGGCACACATTGGCTACATGGAGAAGGTTTATGCGGATTATCTCAAGAATCACGACGCTGCTAATAGAAAGCTCCAAACTCTTCAGCGAAACCCGAAAGTGGCGATCTGGCTCAAGGAGTGTCGTGATTGGGCTTCCGATCTGACAACTGCATGGGATTTGGACTCATTACTGGTGAAGCCCGTACAGAGGATTCTGAAGTATCCTCTATTACTGTCTGAACTTCTCGACTCGACACCCAATGATCATCCTGACCGGACAGCTCTCATTACTGCTTTCGAGGAGGTTACCAATATCTCTGTCAGAATCAATGAAATGAAAAAGCGTGCGGATCTGGTGGGTCAGGTGGTCGGACGTAAACGCAAGGAGTCTGATGTTCGGACCGGCTTGTCCAAGGCTTTTGGCAGACGCACCGAGAAGCTGAAGCAGCAAGTAGGACTCATCGACTTGTTCGAAGATAAAGAATACGACAGCCTATCCCAGAAGTTTGGAGATAACTTCTTCCAGCTGCAGCTCGTCATGCGTGATGCAGAATCATACACAAAAGAGGTCCAGAGTTCAATGGATTGTTTCAACGAATTTGTCGCTGCGATCGAAGGATTTGTCGATGTCGCGCAGTCGAATTATGTCGAGCTGGAAGGCAAATGGCGGGAGCTTAAAGTTTCTGTTCAGGCCATCATGACGGTGGCTTTACCCGACCATGTAAGTGCAACATCATGCTTAGGAAGAGTTTGAACCTGTCGATCTCCATTACTAACAGGCGGCCTTTCAATCATTCAGCTTGCGGTGGTCCGAAAAAGCGTCATCGATCCGATGGTCACCCTACTCAAGCTTCACGATGGTCCCCAGAGAGTGATGAAGAAGCGCGACAAGCGACTAATGGACTATGTTCGTTTCAAGAGCATAAAGGACCGAGGGGACAAACCTGACAAGAAGACGACGGAGCAAGGGGAACAATTCATTGCCCTCAATGAAACCCTCAAGGATGAGCTTCCGAAGCTCTATGCGCTCACTGCCAAATTGATGGAGGCGTGTTTGAAGAACTTTGTGCAGATTCAAACCACCTGGTTTCATCAATTGCAAAGAAATCTTGGATCCTTATTCGAGGCATTTCCAGAGGACATTCAAAAGATCGTTGAGAATTGGTCCTCCAAGTTCAACTATGCTGAAGGGCAGGTGCTCTCGCTTGGAAGCTGCAATGGATCCTTGCTCGCCGATACCATGAATCTTGTCAATTTCAACACGCCTTCGAGTGGGGCAACTATCAGCTCGCCTCGACGACCTTCCACGGTGAATAGTGTCAGCACGCGGATGGGTTCGACGGTTGAAGAATCGCCCAAAGCGTCTCAGGAATTCAGTATCGGCGGCTATCCTTTCCAGTCGCCCAGCATCGACAGCCAATCTCAAGTGTCTTTGGGGCGACGTAGAGCAGACTCGACATTCTCCGGCCGTGCCCATGAATCCGCTGAAATCCCTAGAAGCCAAGTGCTTCAGCAAGTCACCAGCGCACCAACAGGATCGCTTGCAGCATCCGGCTCTACTACTGAGTCATTCCCGAGCCTGCCCAGATTGAGCCTCGACTCCCCATTCTTAGTCGATGTCATTGGTCCCTCCCAAACGGAGACTAGGCCTGATGATGAACAACATGCGTCGTCGAGTGGCCAGTACTCGAACTTCTTCTCCTCAGCGATGCCGATGTCGGATAATCCACAAGAGAACACACCAATGGATCACGAGCCCCCGAAAGAGCCAGCAGTCCTTTTTCTCGCAGCCAGTATATACGAATTCAATATTGATCGCGCTCGAAGAGAAGCCGGTTACCCATATCTGACATACGTTGTGGGCGAGATCTTTGATGTCATTGCTGAGAAAGGCGAACTGTGGCTGGCTAAGAACCAAGATGATCCGGAGCGTCAGGTCGGCTGGATCTGGAACAAACACTTTGCGAAGCTAACGAACTAGAGCAGTCGTTCTGCAAGTTCACTGCGGTTACAAATCTTACAAGCCTGAGGAACCATGTCTTGGTGCGACTCTTCCCTGGGCGACGACTCATTCAAATCTACAATCTCATGCCTTCGCATGTCATACATCTATGATCTTACATGGTGGCACCTTTGACAGTGCGACATTGTTTATACTATTGGTTTCCTCTTACATGTCCTTATATTCCCTCATTGTTTTTGAGTTCAGCGCGTTGGGCGGGGATTCCATGTTGGCAAATATTTTCTGCTTTCTCTGGTCTGAAATTATGCTTGGGCGCTTGTTATGACTGGATGAAAAGGTTGTGGGGTGGATGGTTGGTGAACTTCATGCCATGGGCGAGGTTTGCAAACGGTCATTTCTGTTAAAGATTGGTGTTGCTTCTCCTCCAAGAGCTTGCATGCATGCCTTTGAAGATATATTTGTTTAGATACCCCCTCGATTAAGACGAACAGATATTGATTATTGTTGACGCGATCTTGCAAGTAAAGTATGTAGTGCAGTACTGTCTGTACTATCCCAAACCAATGCTAAGTACACAGATATACGACTTGAATGTATTTGTTTCTATTAAAACCTTAGAACCTAATACTAAGCCACAGCCACTCGGGCGGCTTCGCATTCATCTTGTATCTGCCTATTCTTGGGGGTGGATGCTCAGCCACCGAGGAGTGACGTGCATGGCGTAGCGGTGTGGCTGATGAGAGATCTCCTTGCTGGAATTTGCCGAGGATAACAACAGGCCCCTCCCTCCCTTCTTCTCTATCGCTATGAAGTCGGGTCGTTTCTCTCGTTAAATCCTTCCTTTTTGCCTGTGGGACCTTCATTTCCCGCCTTATGGTTCTCAGTCTGTAGCTTAATTCGACCTTATTTTCTTCTACCCCCACATTCGCCTACTGTGCATGAAAACTAGAGCCCACTTTCGCCGAAGTCCGATTAAGCTGTTCAACCTTCGATTCCTTCTGCGTCTTCCGCCGCCTTAGCCTGCCGCCTATGAAACCAAATCGAAACCACTAGAGAGAGCGCGATTGTTATAATTAGACTCGCACCCATTTGACGACTACCAGGATTAACTGCCAGAATATACCGATAACTGCACCTCAAACAACCTACACCTCATCTCCAGACCCACCCGTGCGCATCGCCGTTGACCTGCATCTGCAGCAAAACCAAAGCATCCCCCCCACACAATTGGACAGCTTATACTCGGGCTTGGGCCACTATAGTACACGCGCTGCGTGGCATTCCATTTTTCCTGGCGCGAAATACAAGCGTGGACGGTGGCTGGGATTACGACGGAGCTTTGCCTACTGCATCCGCAACGACACTGTGATACCGGTTCTAGTGACCAAGTCTCAAGATGCGGGACGGTGGCTTGGGAGGCAAATTGGTGAAGAGGATGAAACGATTCGGTGATACTGTGAGTTTCCTGGGCTACGGTCATACTCCGTGTCAGACATCTGGCTAATCGAGATGACTCCCCAACTGCAGTTAAACCCTGATGACGCGTACCTAAGCTGTGAGTTTATGCTACGGGTCCTTCTGATGGATGTTCCGTCGTGGCATTGAGAATCCAACTGATTGGGCTTGTTCATGAATAGATCATGATATTCGATGTATGTTGCCTTCGTTCCTCGGAAAATCCGGAGAGAGTCTGACCAGAATTCTAGTAACCAGAGGCGACATGCAATCTTTAAAAGATGACTGGCTCACCGATAATGTTCGTTGATATCATGTTGTTGGTCATTCATGCACATTGGTCGTGGCTGGTATCAGAGCTGACATGATATACCTACCTGCCTAGGTAATCTCTTTCTGGGAAGAGTGTGTTAGCCCCAGATTCTCTTTCTCTTCGAATCAAGGACTGATGAGATGCGCCAGATATCTCGAGCGGGAATTCCTCTCCCATTCCAAATCCGCCAATATCGTTCTTCTGCGCCCCAGCATGTCCTTTATGATTCTCCAGACTCCAGACCCTCGAACTCTCCGCGAGGCCCTACCGGACTTTTCCCGTACTACGCATGTTTTCCTGCCGATCAATGATTGTCGTAACGTCACCGAAGCTGAGGGCGGCACACACTGGTCATTGCTGCTCGTATCGATCGTTGACGGCCTCGCTTTCCATTATGATTCCCTGCCCCCTGGAAACTTCTGGGAGGCGCAGGCTGTGACGATGAAGTTAGGGAATTTGTTGAATCGGAATATCCGATATGTTCATCTGGAAGACTCGCCCGTTCAGGAGAACGGGAGTGACTGTGGGGTGTTCGTCTGCTTGAGCATGCGGTATCTTTTGTTGAAGCGATTATTGACAGCGAATACGAACGAGAAAGTCAGTTTGAGTCTAGGCGGAAGAAAGGTGGATGCGAGATCCGGCCGGAAGGAAATCGCGCGGATCATTGAGGGGTTCAGGAAGGAGGGGGAGAGGCGAAGATCGTATGTTTCCCTTGGTTTCGGTGCATTGTTCTCACGATACCCGACGTGGTTGCTAATGAATAGATGAATAGGGCGAGTATGAGCCCGATGGGTCATAGGTCGACAAGTCCGCCTAGGATCGAGTGATGGGTGAGGTTTTCTGTATAAATTGAAGGGACGGCTTTAAGCTGTTGGAAGGACTCTTATTAATAAGGGACGGAGAGGGGCGGTTAATGTTTTTACAACCCGTCCCCTCTCCTCTCTATTCCGACTTCACTACATTGTTAGTTCATCATTACGCACCGCTACCCTTTGGCAGTGGAGGGTCTACAATCCTACAAACCCATGGCCGTCGGTTGCTTGAATTGGGATGGATGAAAGACGCTGAGCATGGCTGGCTGGCTGGCTGGCTGGATGAGCGTTCTTAACATGATCATCTTTGGCTTTTCATTCTGTGTTTATTCAGCAATGACATGATACCTCTGTTCTCTCGAGCCAGACTAATAAGCTATCGCAATGCATATTCAATGAGATGTCAAGGTTGACTCGGCTTTGTCTGTGCTTCGTGTCTCTGATAGTGTATGATTCGAGGACTAACTCATCCCATGTACAGTACCTAGCCTTTCAGCCGAATGTACAGTAGATGCTCTTAAGTCTTGGTGGTATAGAACCAGCTTCTGGTCCATACTGCTTCTACTGCTTCTACTGCTTCTACTGCTGTACCCGGCTTGGCGACGAGTGCTCGCACGCAAGGGGCTGAAGATTGATGCAAACAAGCAGGTAGGTGTCGATTGAATTAGTGTACTACATACGGAGAGAGTAACTTGCATCTACCAACGGAATGCTTGGCAGCCTGACGTTGACCCGCCGAGGTCTGCGCACAAGGCACGTGGTGGGTTGGCGAGGGTTTCTTCTGTCATTTTCCTGAGTATAACAACGGCGCCTCGGTGGATTGACTTTCTTTTGTTTTTCTGATGTCAGGCCTGGGAATTCTTGGTGACTCGCTGTATCGTCTCGTCCAGGTGTGGATTGCGCCTAATGTACCCATGGCACGGTGACTTATCAATATCACTTTTGTTTCAAGCTCTTCGAGTTACAACGACTTCGTGATGTAATGTTTATCAATATCATGGCAGCCGATGAACACGGGGGGCTAGCTATATCGACGAGACGAATAATGGTGCGTAGCATGAGAGAATGAAACCACTGAATTAGGTAGTCTTGGAAGACAAAAGAATTGTCCTACGGTGGAGTAGGATGGAAGTTACCGGCGGTGGTTCCAGGTTTTTTTTTTTTTTTCAGAATAAACACTCTAGTAGACAATAGATTATCTGTAGTACGAGTACTATGTACATCAGCATGGGGGCATGCTTCGAAATGAGACGGCAAAGAATATGGGTGGTTGATTGGGATGGCATCAGAAGTGACATCAATAGCACGTTTCGAATAAATCAGGATACTTTGATCGTCGTCATCGGAGGGATTCCTCGCCTTTTCTCCCCGACTCTCTTGTTCGGTGGAAGTGATAAGAGGATGGGAAGGATTGTGTCGGAAGAATAAACCAAGAGAGACGTGTCCTGTAAGGTATGCTCATGGTATATATGATCTGAGATCCGAGAGAGAGGGAGGGAGCTATAACAACATCCGTATTTAATTTTGTCTTCCAACATTCAATACGATTAAGGAGGAGGAGGAGGAGGAGGATCAGCCTTCTAGACTGTAACAGTCGTCGCCTTGAATAACTATACATTGTAGTCAAAACCTCACCTTTGCCCATGTCATGGACGGTTGGGATAATCGGCGATCGTCGTCATTAGGGGGGGAGGCGCATTCAAGATACTGAGTATTATACACATAGAAAGGAGGCCAAGTGTCTACCAACGGATGGAGTAATATACCTGCATAGTTAGTACGTGGAAGAAATGCGTGTCCCTAGGTCCTGTACAAACCGGTTTGCCTTTTTCGCGGGGTGTGCAAGGTTTCCAAGGTTTCTGGAAATCCACGTTTGCTGTCCCCTTATCTTGGAAATACTACTAGAGTATGAGTAGCTGGTCGTCAGAGGCCTTACCCGATTTCTAGCGAGTACTTATATTACTGAACTAGTATGAAGAGGAAAGCATGTACTTCATACTGTATTCGGTACAAGTATGAGGAGCAGAGCAGGACTAGCAACGGGTTGGTAGGCAGGAGTACAACGTAACGCTGGCAACTATGTAAATAGTCTCATCCAACCGTACCCACTTGGACTGGGTGATCGGCCGGGGGGATGATGTAATCTGATCATCTATCTGTGCACTAGTTTGCTCATAACTTGCACAGTATGTGTATGTAATACACGCTCTGAGAGGCGGGGGGAGTACTATTCGTAGCTCGAGCGGGAAGTCGCTGGTGTGTATATTCGTATTTTGAGAGTTGAAGGTCGGGTGAATAAGCTTCTATGGTAGTGGTGGGTGGTGGTGGTGGTGGCATTATCTCGCATACGGTTGATATCATTCCGGGGTGGGGAAGAGCGGCGACGGCTGTGGCAAAAGGGAAAGGAAGGGGAGTTAGTTTGGAAGTCATGACATAATTAATGCTAAGCACACGATATTGACGAGTGTTCGATGGAACCACCTCGGTTGGTGGAAAGATGAGCAAGAAGGGCAAGATAAGCGGAAATACTTGGTAAGGCATGCAGTAATAGCCGGATTAGATGGACCACAGTGAAACAGTTGTTCTATCAAGAACACTTGAAAGAAGGCTGCAATGCTTGAGATTGGTTTCACCCATACAAGACAACAAGACACAAGAATACAGACCACGAACGCCGACCCAATGACAAAACCAGATTATGCGAAATACTCTGGGGAAACAAGCAATTGTATACACAGTAGACATAAAAAGACAAGCCACCCGAGCAATCCAGCGACGATCGAACGTGCCGGCCGCAATGGAAAGTCTATAGATAAATTGCGATCATCGTTCTGTCGGGTACATGCGTGATTAAGACATGACTAGGATATATGTACCAAAGGGGATATGCGACGCCAATAATGAGGTATAGTAAACCAGCAGTCGATACATATACCCGCACATGAAGCCAAGCGAAAGTGGGAAAATCGTTCACCTGTCGAAGGAGAACAGTGTGGATCGTGGATCCAAGTGCGAAAGGAAGCCCCGCGTGGTCAATTGTGTAGACCATCTAGGGTGGAGTAGGGGTTTGGCGAACCTCCGGCTGGTCAGGTCGGTGCTTCTCCCGCGTGCGCATGTACATCCCATCGGACTGAGAGTCCACTGCGGGAGGAGCGTGGATCGAACGAGGGATGCCCGACCGCGATTGCTGCTGCTGTTGTTGCTGAGAGACGATCTCTCGAGCATAAAACTCTACCAGCATTGTGCCATACGCTTCAAGCTCTTCCACAGGAATCGAAAGACGAAAGTCGTTCAAAAGAAGGAATTGGAGCTCAAGGTGGTTAAGTTCAACTAACGGTAATCCTCCAACCTGCATGCAGCATTGGTGTCAGTTCTGCTACGTAGATCATTGGATTAGGAGCGAAGAAGACGAAAATAAGTACCTTTGCATATCGTGAGTTGGTGTAAAAAACATCGGAGAAGAATTTACTGGCACAAGTCACGCCTGCGATGACCAGCCGATGAATGTTGAAGCTATCGACGATGAAAAAGTGAGAAAGCGCCTCTTCCTCGTCCTCAGCGTCCAAAGATGGAGACATGGACGACGGAGTGGACGGGTCTTCTTGGGTGGCGAAGCTGGCAGAAGATGGTGGAGTGGCCAATGGAGAGGCACCTGTCGCCTGTACATTTGACGGTCGGAGCGACTGGGGCTGATTGCCATCGGTCCTCAGCATGGAAGCCGATTGGGCCTGGCGACGCCGTAATCGCTCAAGTTGCGACCGGTTGACGAGCTCCGTCATGCGATCAAAATACACCAGAAGACTGAGGAAGACTTCATAAGTGGTGGGACAATATTTGTGAATTCTCGTCAAATAGCTGAGAATGCTGATGCTAGGTACATTCTTGCCATGAAAGGCAAGAACACTGGCAGCCTGTGGAGTGAGGTTCGAGGTCCCGTCGGGGGGTGGTATGTGGCGATGGATATGCTCATGGTGCATGTCGTTGGTCGTAGTTATCTTCGTCAAGAGCCCAGCTACCATCTCGATGATGTCCGTGACCGGCATGGAACTGATTTCGTACTGGCGCTCTTGAGGACCCCACTGTCCCGTCATCCGATCTCTTTGTGCCAACATTTCCTCGCTCGCAAAGCTTTGTATATGGGACAGATCGCGGACCTTGATGCGACTGGGCGAGCTTGCCTCCGAGCCACCTAATGAGCGCAGGGACTGATGAGTCGGCCTCAACTGCGGTGACGCGGGGGATGAATGACTTCGGTTGTGTTGCGTAGATGTCGCGGTCGCGTGTGCATGGCTGGCGCTGACATGAGGGGCATACGTGTGAGGCGCGGCATGGGTGTGATTATCGAAGCGAGATGGATGGCTATCGCTCGTGGTTGTGGTCATTGATGCTGAGTTCGGGTGAGCGCTTGTTATACCCGAGATGGTTGATGACGCCCGCGATGAGGGGTAAGAATTCGAGTCGGAAGGGTGATAGATATAAGGCGGAACATCCTGGGTGGTTTGGTGGGAGGGGAGGCGAGCTGAGGCGGATGTTGACGGCGGGGCTGTGGACGAGGTGGGGGTGGTATTAGACGATGCCGACCTAGAGCCGCCGCCGGTCTCCAGACGTGACGAGGGTTGTTGGAACGAGGCTTGGGTCTGCGACGAGGATCGATAGCCAGATTCCGAAGTAGGTATGGCGCCCCCCAGCATGTTGTAGGAGGATGTATCAAGATGATCCGATCGCGGATGATTTACGATAACGGATCCCATGTCAGGCTTGAACAGAAGTGAGGGTAATTTATGGAAGGGCGGACAGTGGTCGGAGTTGAAATATTGCAGCTAGAGCCCAGGCCAGCGAGCAACGGTTAGCGACTGAAGACGACAGTAGGGTCATTGAAGACCAAAGAAAGGCCAGAATAAATCATAGGAGAAATTTGAGCTCAGATTGAAGAAAATAAGAAGAAGATGGTAGGAGGAGAGAGGGGGAATCTAGCAAGTAAAGAGAGAGGGAGAAGTACGAGATCCAGCGATTAATTGATGGGTTGATTACTTTAGATCGCTCAATGAGCGAAGGGGGAGGGGGAGCGCAGCGAGAGGAGAAGAAGGCGCAGGCGCAGACAGAGAGGGTCTGGATCTGGAGATGCGGCGAGTGAGGGTCAGAGCACTGGGGAATGCGCGATAAACCCGACCCAAGCCTGGAGCGGATAAGGAATCACAGGCAATTGACGGCGGTGGAAAACATGTCCATTGCGTTGGGAGATGAGAAACGGCGAGAACAACAAGATGAAATAAAAGGGGATGAAGGTTGGATAAAAAAAAATAGAGAAGAGAGAACGGGTGGCGGAGAAAAGTGGATGGATGAATGAATGGATCGGTAGGAAGTATGGCGATTGGCAATTGGAGAAATAGAAAATAGGATGGATGGAGAGAGAGAATAGGGAGAGGCGAGGAGAGGAGAGGAGAATGGAATGGAGAATGGGATGATGATGTTGATGATGCAGCCGCAGCCGTAACAGCACCAGTAGCAGCAGTGACACCAGCAGCACCAGCAGCACCAGCAAGAAGGAAGGGAACAAGAAACCCGGGCAGGAAGGCTGGGGTCCACCACGACGAGATCCAGAGCCACTCAGCAGCACTCCCTCTACCACCTAGCAAGACCCAGACCGACCCAAGGGTGGAGTTCTGATTTATTTAACGGGGGAGGAGAGGTTCCCTTCCCCGAATGCAGTAACCAAAGTAGCAAGTAGATGGCTCGATCAAGCCGAGGACCAAGAATCCCCTCTCCAAAATCAAGGCAGCTGAGGTCCCGAATGAGATAAATGGATGATAACTTACGAGTGACAGAGAAGAAAAGTAGATATAAAATAAAATTAAGCAAAAAATTCAAGAGGTAGGTAGCTAGAGAATAGACAAAGAAATAAGTCAGGAAGAGAAAAAAGAAACAAGAAACATTGGACAGGGTTGAGACGGCGCGGACTGGTTTATTATCATGAGACTGAAATGATCCGTCAATTGGGAGGTCGCTCGCTCTCTCTTTTTGTCTTTCCCTCCTTTCTTCTCCGATCACCAGTCAAATATCCTACCTAATACATACTACGGACGACTTAAGTCCGGAAAGTTACCAGTCGAGAAAGAAACAAGCCTCGCATCGAGATGTTTCCGCATTGGACTATATCCGAGTCATTCAGTCGTTCTTGTCCATGCTTTTACTCCATACGACGAGTTGAGCATGCATCAAAACATCTTCACCTTCTTGCTCCAGTATCAATAGTATCAAGGTGCTCCGTACTCCGTAGGTACTATACGTACGGACAAGTCCACCCAGAAAACCGGAAAGGATAGTGGCAGTTAGGATCATCCTCCGTCTGAGGGGGGATGGGCGAATCGCGGCTCTGCAGGGGCGCAGGTGTTCATCATCGCTGACTGATTGGTGCTCGTCCCAGAAAACCCGCGAGGCCCTTCGACCGGTCACATCCTCGACCTCTACTACTGATACTGATACTTTAGTGGAGTAACTCCGGTCTGATATAGCCGCGGCAGTACGAGCTACGAGATATCTACTACCTACACCACTGCAGGCTGACCTATTTAGCCTTGCCTTTCTTCTTAGAAAGCCTAAGACGAGGTGGTACTTCGAAAGTGACAGCCTCTGACCGCCGGATCCGAGTAACAATTATAGTCAGGTCAATATCCTCAGTCATGGCAAGCAGCCAACCTCCGGTAGGAGCGCGATTCGAGCTGACGAGCAGTTGGTGAAGGTGGTGAGGTCAAATCCCAAGCCAAGACACGCATATGATGAGGAAGCACCGCGCAGCTTGCTAGAGATACGACCGTGGTTTATGAGTAGTCCCTCTGCCCGACTCTCAGTTGACAAGACCACGCCTTGTCCTGATTGTCCAGAAGCAGGCTGATTTACCGCTTACATTGGCGGCGAACTCATGCCTAGAATGAGGCTATCTTCAGTGCCAGGGAGAAGGAAAGGTCATGTTGATCGACAGCTAACAACGATATGAATCATCACTCCAAACGGATACACTCATTAGTTGGTAACACCTGGGCCAGTGTAACCCGTGTCCGGCAGGTAGAGATGTCGCTGAGCGCCCTTGGCCGTCAAAACCACCATCCGGATCACACCGCCAGAGCTACCATCCCACTTGATCGCCTCCTGCAGAGCTGACCGAACGAACTGGACGCCTTCTTCCTCAGTCATATTCTCCTTCCAGTTTGCATCGCAGTAGCCGTAGATATAGGTTGAACCAGATCCGCCGATGGAGTACGATTGCTTGTGGAGGGATCCGCCCAGAGGTATCGAGTAAACTTGTCCTCCGTGCCGAGGATCATATCCAGCAATAATGATGCCAGCACTGAACATTGCCATAGTCAATAAAAAAGCAATTCTCGTGGCTCGGAGGGGCACAAAGAACTTGCCTTAGCATGTCCTTGTTCTCATAGCACAGCTCCTGGAACAGTGCGGCGGCAACCTGAGTGCTGGGCGCCTCGTTGTTTGTGATCGAGTACATGTTGAGATGGTAGGATACAATATCAGCCACGGCCTGTGTGTCGGCGGCCGACCCCGAGCGGCAGCACCAGATCGTGTCATGCACCTGTGTCAATTTGTCGGTAACCCGGTTGGCAATGTAAGCTCCAGTGGTCGTTCGGCTGTCGGCACCCAATATAACACCGTCCTTGAAGTTGATTGCCATACTGATGTCGGTTAACAGGGTGTCGTAATAATGTAGGGAAAGTCTCACTCACATTGACGTTCCGAGGCTGGACAAGCATGGTATATCAGTTAACTGCCTCACACGAGATCTTGAATCCATAAACTCACTTAACCTCACCCTTCTTCAGGTGGTTCATATCGACATGAATACCATCTATGAGAGCCGTGAGCTTTGGCATGACGTCCAGTAGATGAGGTTACCACTGACCTTCACCGAGCATCCCCGTCATGCCGTGACCGACCATACTGACTGACGAAATTGGGGGGTGGGGAATAAGTAAGGGTATGTATATGGACTGTGTGCCAAAGAACGGTTTCTATGGAGGAAAATCGAAGATATGAAAATTTATGATGATTGCATTCAAGAAGTATCTGGCTGAAGGAGTTGATGGATATGAGCTCTGACGGAGCTCTCAAGGCAGGCGAGCGCGTTACGTTGCCAGCAGCTGGAGCTGGTTCCGCCGGGCGGTGAGACAGCGTATCTTTCCTACTGGACAGCTCCCCATCCCCCGCAGGTCTCCTGAACGACTCCCCCCCTCCAGCCATCACTTCCGATGAAACGAACCGACGCTTTAATTTCCGCTAGACCAGTATCTGGCCGCCTGCGAAGCTCACTCGCGTTATCGTCCTTGCCGTTTGTATTCGACTTCTTTGTCTAGGGGGTTTTTGATAGCTTCACTTGCTTGATCCAGTCCCAACTCGCAACGCCGCTTTGTCGCATCGGCTATACTATTCCGTTCGCTAGCATGTCTGAGTCGCCGCCTCCACCCTCGTGGACTATCGCCAGCATGGCCAATAGTGCCGTTCAGTTTCTGCGCCTGCCGGTTTTGGCCTCCTCTGGTCTCGCCGTGGTGGCCAGTGGTCTGTTGTACTTTAAGCAAAAGTAAGCAGTGACCCGCATCTGCGCCTGGTTATGATGACAGCGGTGCCTGAAATCTAACCCCGTGCGCAGTGAGCTGATCTATCCTCGAAATGTCCCTGTCGACGCCCGGACCAATGTCCCCAAGCCACAGCAATTCGGCATCACAGATTACGAAGAGCTCCATCTTCCGACCCCGGACGGGGAAACACTACACGCCCTCTTCATTCGTCCTACACGGAAACGCATCGCTCAAGACCTTACAGTGTTGATGTTTCATGGGAACGCGGGTAACATCGGTCATCGTATCCCTATCGCCAAGATACTTCAGGAAATTCTTGGTTGCAATGTGTTGATGTTGGAGTATCGCGGCTACGGTCTTTCGACTGGTACTCCAGATGAGGCAGGATTAAAGGTTGATGCGCAAACCGGCTTGGATTATCTGCGACAAAGGGCCGAGACCAAGGATAGCCAGATCGTTGTATATGGACAGAGCCTGGGCGGAGCGGTCGCGATTGACCTTGTGGCTAAGAACCAAGACAAGGGTGCAATCGCTGGCTTGATCCTCGAAAATACCTTCCTGAGCATTCGCAAATTGATTCCCACGTATGTTCGGCCTGACCCACCGCACACTTATTGCCTACAGGTCGAGGGCGATTTTCTGACATTCCTTAGGGTCTTTCCACCCGCACGATATCTCGCTCGTTTATGCCATCAATACTGGACTAGCGAAGAGGTATTGCCTAAAATCACGAAGGTGCCTATTCTCTTCCTCAGCGGGCTGAAGGATGAGATTGTACCGTAAGTGTCAGCTGCCTTTCTTCCACAGCTCCCCAAAGCTAACAAACTACCTAAATAGACCGTCCAACATGACGCAGCTTTTTGCTGTCTGCAAGTCCAGCCGTAAAGTCTGGCGTACTCTTCCCAACGGTGGACACAATGATAGTGTCGCTGAGCCGGGGTATTTCGAACACATTCATTCCTTTGTAATGGAAGAGATCGTACGACATGATTAGTGAACAATTGTTCAACAGTTGTGCATCTCCTTATCTCATTTATCGGTTTGTTTGTTGTTTCTGTGATGATATCATATGTGTTCAGCACCGGCCCGAGCCTACGAGTGATCGCTTGGGATGCCTTCGATTTTTGCCTTTTCTTGCTCAGTTTATTGTTCTTGGATTTCCCCCTTACGTTGTATTAGAGTGGTGTTTCGGATGCTTCTTCTGGCTGGCTGCCTTCGCGTTTTGTTTCAGGATCTTATGTCTCAACTAAGCATAGGTTGAGGATCCGCCTGTGTTCCAAGAGCAATATAGCCCAATACCTAATGAAGACAACTTTTTTTTATCGGGCGGTGTCAAATAAATCCTGTAGTCAGCGTTCGCTCCAATTGTCCCTGAGTTGCTCAGTACCATGAGGGATGACCCGCTATGAGTAATCTCACTGGCAGGATGAGTCGAAGGCGCAGCACTAGACCAGCATGAGTCATGCTGCAGGAAAAGCCAGGGTGATCTAGATCTGACGGCTTTCCAGGCCCTTGATTGCACATGAGTACATGAGTTCGAACCATTAAGAAGAGTGCAACTCCTCCGTAGCGGAATTTGTGAAGTAATGGAAGTGTGAAGAGTCCCGACAAGAGTCCTGACCAGCTCTCGGAGGCAAACCGCCGCCACCCGAACCACATTCACCCGTTCGTACTTCAAGAACAAAATCACTGTTTGAGTTCCACCAGTTTCTGTTGGTTTTTAAGTGGCGCCCCCCTGCCTGATCTGAACTCGCCTTCGGTCTCCTTCTATAGCTATATTGGAATCGATCAGCTCACAGATTTCCATTCCACTTGAGCGGAAGCCCATCTTCGATCTTCTCGCGGCAGTAATTCCCTGCTTCTCAAGCTCCTTATCAACGACCGATTGATCTACGCTTTCCCTATTTTGTACTCGGCCCTTGATTGGTGCTATTGCATGGACGTGCTTTCTCCGCGTGCAATTTCCGAACCTAACGCCTCTGTAAGGACCTTGGAGCCAACGATGTCGAACTCTCCAGCCCTCGTGGCAGACAGCAACAGCACTACCCCGCGCACGAGGTCCAGACGCGGAGGTAGAGGCCGTGGTGGCGATCGCAGTCGTTCTCACAGATCTGCACCACAGACACAGGCACAGACACAGGCACAGGCACAGGCACAAACACAATCTCAACAACAAACGACAGCACACCCGGCTACGAACCCCCCAGTGCAACAGAACGAGCCTTCTGCGACACGGACTGCGCCCGACGCAAACCAGCCACCAAGAGGACTGAGGGGAAGCCGAAGAGGGGCGAGAGGCGCAGGCGCACAGTCGAATGGAGGCCGACGACATGGTCGAGCACGCGGCGGTGCTGATCACACAGCGGTCATTACTGGAGGGCGAAGATTCGAGGGTCGACTGAGCAAATCAGAGCAGTCGGAGGAGACTCAAGATGTCGATCCCCAGAGCGCAGGCGGGGAGGACATTGCAGGATTGAGAGCAGATGCGCCAGCATTCGTCCCAGGAGGGCCAGCCGGAGAACTACCTCGACAAAGCGGAAGTGCTCCTGCGAGTGGAAAGGGCAAATCGAAAGCTAAAACCCAAAGCCAGCCTCGATCCGCGCTCCCACCTCCACCAGCGCCCAAGATTACGACGAAATCATCGGCACCGGACATTGCCACTCGAATCCACGAAGACATCGCTCACAACCTCTACGAATGTCCGATATGTACATCTGAGTTGGGCAAGCGTTCCCGTATCTGGTCCTGCGGATTGTGCTGGACGGTTTTCCACTTGAGCTGTGTGAAGAAATGGTCGAGGAACGAAGGCGCGGCGGCTCAGGATGCGGCGCGTCGTCGGGGCGAGGAGGGCGAAAGCAGCGCTCCTCGTGCTTGGCGCTGCCCGGGCTGTAACTTGCCGCATGAAGTGTTTCCTTCCACTTACTCCTGTTGGTGTCAGAAGGAGGTTGATCCACGCTCATTTCCTGGTCTCCCGCCTCATTCATGTGGACAGACTTGCGCGCGATCGCGAAAAGGTTGTCCACACCCTTGCGATGCGACGTGCCATGCTGGTCCATGCGCTCCTTGTACTGCTATGGGTCCAACCCAGGATTGCTTTTGTGGGAGGAACTCATCTACGAAGCGCTGTCAGGACACCGACTACGATAATGGATGGAGCTGCGGCGAGACATGTGGTGATCTGCTGCCTTGTGGTGAGCACACCTGCCCGCGGCCGTGCCATGAGGGCCTCTGCGGTGCCTGCGAGGTCAAAGTCGATGCGCGCTGCTATTGCGGGAAATCGCAGTCTGAGATGCTCTGCAGTTCCAAAGATGAGGAGTTGGATAGTGAAACCCTGCGCATTCGCGAAGACGACGGCGGGGAGGAGCTTGAAGAATGGGTTGGCTGTTTCAGTTGTGGTGATCAGTGCAATCGACAGTTTGATTGTGGGCTACACTCGTGTCAAAAGACCTGTCACGCCCAGGATGCGCATCCCGCTCATTGCCCCCGATCGCCCGATGTGGTGCTTTTCTGCCCGTGTGGGAAAACATCTCTAACCGAAGTTGCGGGTTATTCGCCCCGAACTACTTGCGAAGACCCCATTCCCAATTGCTCGAAGCCTTGCAGGAAGTCCTTACCATGCGGACATTCCTGCGAGCAAGTCTGCCATACCGGATCGTGTGGGCCTTGTTTGCAGAAAGTCACGATCCATTGCCGATGTGGCCGCAATGACTTCCGGACGACTTGTTTCTCGGGAGACTTTGAGCCACCTCAATGTTTCCGTATATGTAAAGCCGGCTTGCATTGCGGTCGCCATGCGTGCGCGGAGCGCTGTTGCACCGGCGAACAGAAGGCAATTGAGCGTCAGGCTATCCGGCGAAAGCTCAAATCCCATCTTCGACCAAGCGATGAGGATTTTGAGGCTGAACATATCTGTACCCGGGTCTGTGGCCGTATGCTGAAATGCGGGCGGCACACATGCCCGGAGATCTGTCACAAAGGGCCCTGTAACACTTGCAGGGAGGCAATATTCGAAGAGATCCCGTGTAACTGCGGTCGATCTGTCTTGTATCCGCCTCTGCCCTGTGGGACACAGCCTCCAGCTTGCTCACACCCCTGTGAGCGCGTTAAACCGTGCGGTCACCCGCAGACGCCCCATAATTGCCACACCGACGATGAAAATTGTCCGAAATGCCCATTCTTGACGGAAAAGGCGTGCCTGTGCGGCAAACGTGTGCTGAAGAATCAGCCGTGCTGGCTTGCAGATGCACGGTGCGGACAGATTTGCGGCAAGCTCCTCAAGTGTGGCTCACATACTTGTAAGAAGAACTGTCATCGACCGGGTGATTGTGAGGATGCTTCCCAGCCTTGTCAGCAAGCCTGTGGGAAGACTAAGTCGCTGTGTGGTCACCCCTGTTCTGACCAGTGTCACGCTCCTTATCCGTGTTCCGAGAAAACCCCCTGTTCATCCATGGTCGCAGTAACATGTAGCTGTGGACGACTTCGACAGGAGCGACGTTGCAATGCAGCCAAGGCTGTTGTGACCAAGGGCCACCTCCAGCAGGCGCAGCGACTTCCATCAGCGTCCCCGCTGGCGTGCGACGAGGAATGCGCCCGCCTCGAGCGTAACCGTTCTCTGGCGTCTGCGCTTGGCGTCGATATCAACCCGACGACGACTGTCTCTCAGGCGCTCACCTCCACCAACCTACCCTATTCCGCTGAAACTCTCGATATTTACCTCCAGCTTTCATCGTCGTATCCTCTATCCACTCTACAGTCCTATGAATCGACCCTCCACAGCCTCGCCACGAACAAGAATCCAGCAAATCGCTCCACCCGCTTCCAACCCGCAAAATCTCCCCTCCGTGCTTTCGCGCACTCCCTCGCCGCTGACTGGGGCTTTGCCAGTGAGAGCTTCGATCCGGAGCCTCATCGCCATGTGTTTGTTCTCAAACCCACAGCCTGGACTCCCCCCCTTCTGGGCATGGGCAACGGTACCACCATTGGTATTGGCGGTATGAGCGTCGGGGAATGCGTCAAGTTACGTGATCGCCAACGCCTCAAGGAACAGGAAGAGCAGCGACTCGCTGCAGCTGAAGCAAAGGCCCTGCGCGAAGCTGCACGGGCCCAGCAGAATGCGAACGGCGAGGGCGGCTGGGCGCAGGTCGCAGCCTCAAAGAGAAGTAACGGCTTTGGTAGCTCGCGGAGCAGTACGCCTGGTCATCAAACACCTGGTGGCAGTTCTTGGTCTACAACTATGTACTCTGCTCTTGCGGGTGACGATGGCAGCGCTTCATGGGATTCCCCCGTTCCGTCCCAACCTCAAGCTAAGAAGGAGAAATTGGTGTTGCGGTCGGGTGTGAAGCAATTGAGGACTTCCAGTTCGGTTCTTGATGCGAGTCGTGGCGAGTCAGTGCGGGATCCTAAGTTGGATGGAGAAAAGGAGGATGCTTAATCTATCGGCTTGCTCGTGGATGGAAGAGCCACTTTTGTCTCTTGCATACGCCAACAACGTTCGGATGATGCCTTGTGCGAAGAAATGACCTCTTCCGGACTTACTTCAATCTCTCAGTTCTCCTTACCATCCACTTTTACTACTTGAAAACGATCACGATTATAATGCTTTTCGCTGCTGTTCAGCTTTTTCTATGGTTAGCGTGCATAGCTGGCCGGTCGTGTGCTTAGTTAGAAAGACCAAAAGTCGATAGAATCGGGATGTGGCAAATCAATGTCACTCTGTGTATATTTTTGAGACATAGACATGTTCTGATAATCGGGGTATGTCGTGAATCTATCGCTAGTTTTATCTTATAGATATATGGTATACCTAGGTACCTAGCTACAATTGCCTCAGACATTCATACAAAACAATGTGATACTTGCTCTAGTTAGCCAGGCTGACGTACCTGGCTGTAACGTTATGTACCTGTACTGTACCTGTACTAATTTAAGCATAAGCAGACGGTTAGTCAGCCCCAGTTGGCTGGCGAGCAAATCAGAGAAGGCTGCTTGGGGCTAAGGCCGGCTGCACCTTCCCAGCCGGCCGCTGTTCGGCACCAACTGTCTCTCCTCTATTTCTTCCCTGGAGCGCAATCATAGCCTCAGCTCGTGGTATGTTATTTCCATTTGTTATATTCCGCTACTACATGAACTACCAAGTCTCACCAAATCGGTCCCATCCAGACTTGAAAGTTTCAAACAAGTTATTTCATCGCATCGAACTTCATCCGCACGAAGCATTTTGTTTCACATTCCTACTACTACTATCCATTCCGGTTCGCTCAACCGACCGTATGATACAGTAATTGTTGTCTTGACCGGGAGAACTTCAATTAGCCCCGAGGCATCCAATAGCTTTCTACTCTCCAAAGGATCACAGCATCATATCCCACCGCTGACTCCGTATTAAGTTTTTATCGAATTTGAGACGAGCCTAATGCCCTCGCGCCGCAGCCACACCAAATCCCGGAAGGGTTGCATTCAGTGTAAGAAGCGACATGTGAAGGTTTGCCATCTCTATCTCATACTAGCCGTGGCTGCCCTTGCGTGCTACTATCTCAATCCCATCTTCCCACCAATCGGATACCCTGGGATCTACTCAGCGGCCGTTCAGTCTCTGCTTCCGACCAGAAGTCGACAGTTTAGTCGCTGACAGTAGTGCACAGTGCGATGAAGAGACGCCTCGATGTGGGTTGTGCAAGAAGAGAAAATTGGATTGCACGTATCCGTCCAATGATGCCGATAGTCAAAATCCCTCCACACCACATGAATCACCCGAGGCGGTATCCGGCCCAAAAGCAGATTCGTCGCAGACGCGAATGCTCGAAATGAGATTATTCCATCATTACCTTACGGAGACATACATCACTCTCTGCCAAGGTCGCCTCGACGCACATCATTTCCAAGTCGTCATCCCGCGAATCGTGGTGTCCCACCCATTCCTGATGGACAGCCTTTTGGCACTATCTGCTCTTCATCTTGCCTATCTGGAGCAGCATGACAACCGGTCGTGGCTGGAGATTGCTCTGAAATATCAGAGCCGCGCCTGCTCAGCGTTCAGTCGAGTCTTGGCGGACATCTCCCCGGAGACTTGTGGGCCAGCTTTTATCTGCTCCATTTTCATCATGCTGTGTGCAACGGCGTATCCTTGTGTTTCCGAAGACAGACAGACATTCGAGCCGTTGTCTCATGTACTGGAGATTCGCCAGCTCATTGCTGGCTGCGCACTCTTATTTGTGCAACTTAACGGCATGGAGTATCGAGGTGACTTGCAAGGATGGTTGAAATGGAAGGACGATGAAGTCGATCAGGATGGCAATCCTTATCAGTAATCCTCACCCTTCTCACCTCTGACCTGATCTGGGGAGTTGACCTTTTTATAGAGTTCGGGAATCCCAACTGAATCTTCGGAGGTATGTTACTTTCGCCTGTCTGGCAGCAGTTACTTCACAGATGCTAATCTAATTCAAGTGCAATCATGGATTCCTTGAAGGGCGTTCAAGAGAAGTTTAACAGTATCGGTGGACCAAATCAGGCAATATACCTGGCTACTTGGCAGATTCTTCATGAAGCAATCAAGAGGTGGCCATTTGGCGGCCCGAACGGTGGTATAATCGCATGGCCTATCAATATTAGCGAGGCCTACATCGATCTGCTCAAGCAGGGTGATTGGGTGGCTCGTATTCTGTTTCTACACTACGGTGTTGGACTGCATTTGCTCTCAGACAAATGGTTTGTCCGAGATTGGGGCCGACGTCTCATCGAGACCGTTCTACAACCAGAAGATGAGATCCCCTCGATCTGGGCGAACACTATCTCGTGGACCAGGAGCGCAGTTGAGCTCGAAGAATGACGGGGTCTCATATGTGTAGCTTGGACTCGACTAGCCTCAAAAGCTTTAGGTTCGCTGAAAAGGACACGATTCATGGCAGATCAGGTTTTGAACTTGGTGAACTCGGTATGGCAAAAGCAAGAGCAAGGAACCTTGTCATGACGAAAGACGTGCGGCACCGGTATTCCAGTAGCCGTTCCGAGATGGTTGAAAACTGACTTCGATATATCTGGATTTCTTCTTTCTGCTTGAAAGGTGCATCCGAGACCTTGTCTCAATCCAAAGGTGATTCTCTGGGTACGGGCCGCCCGGGAGTCACCTCATGATCTGGGACATTTTCTTTCTAAAGTCATCCAAAAGCAGTCCACTCGCTTCTAGCATTGACGAAGGGCGCTTCTCGTCAGAATCATCGTTCGGAGTGATCAACAAGAGCCCCAAACTCTCTCTGACCCGAAGAAGTATGGTTGTCTTTGCAAAGATACTTCTTTTCAAGGGCACTCACGAGGACAAGAGACGCGAGGAGAGGCTTATCGCGACCTCCCGTTGCCCCCAGATAACTTTTCTAATGACCAGTCATAATCTCTAGCGTGGCCAAACCCCACTCCAGGTCAAGGTGCATGGTTGACAACAGCAGAAACTCTCCGGCTTTCCGAAACATGAGCCCTGGATTGAAGAATGCATCAAATCGGATCAAATTTTTGCTTTGCTGGACTCAGAGATTTGATTACCCCAAATTATGCACGTCACGTTGCAAGATGAAATTTGATTGGATGAGGCAGGTATTGCGCCTTTGGATGAGCTTGGTGTGCCATCGGGTGACCAGGCCGAAGTGGCGGTTCGGATTTCTGTTGGTCGAGGCTGATAAGGAACCAGGCATGCGGGACTCTGCAGGAAACTAAACTGTCGTGGTCCTTATCGCCGTTGGAGTCTGTCCGATAATGGGGGGTGTGGGTGGTCAGGGAGCCCTCGGCCTCTTAAATAAACATAACGGGTTCCGAATCTTCTTTGCTTCGTATCCTTCACTTGTCTTCATACTTTCAACCTGTATCTTATCCTGCCTAAGCTAGGCTGACTATTCCGATTGTCGACCCCCGTCTGTCTGGCATCTCGGAATTATAGTGGCAGTTCCAGGCCCATCGTTCTTTCCAGTAACCGCATCCGGCCACCAAGTATACTAAACATGCAGGGTTGCAAACCGGATCTCATCGACAACCAAGATGCAGAGAAGCAGGTACTTAGACGAAGTCCTCCCCTGTTCCAAGAAATTACTTCTGGTCTCTAAATCTCTAACCTGCATTTCTCTCATAGCCACTCCTTGAGGCCTTGGAACGCCCGGTCGCGTGCACTCAGTCGGCTTTATCGCACGATAAGCCCCGGAACAGGTCGAGAATGTTCCGTATCCTGCGATTTACCCTGTCAACCACACTAGTCTTAATTGTCTTGGTCACACATCTGCCGAACGTACTCACGTCGCCTCTCGACTATCCGACTCGTCAGCTGAGCTGGGACTATGAATTGGAGGACGGCAAGCGTGGCGCCGTAGCGAGTGAGAGTGCAATCTGCAGTCGCCACGGAACAGATATACTACTACAAGGCGGGAACGCTGCTGATGCTGTGAGTATCTGAAGTCTATTGACTTAGAGGATGCGGAGATCCCGCGTGGCAACGATCAGTTGAAAGTCGTGCTGACCTGAAGGCTGGTAGATGGTGGCAACGATGCTCTGCGTAGGGGTTGTGGGTTAGTCATTCCCCTTCCCTGGCGGTAATGGAATCTTTGGAGCTGATTTGTCTTGCGCCCAGGCATGTATCACAGCGGGATCGGAGGGGGTGGCTTCATTCTAGTGAAAGACCCTAACGGCGCGTTCGAGTTTATCGATTTTCGCGAAACTGCCCCAGCGGCAGCATATGAGGACATGTTTGTCAACAACACGGAAGCAGCTGTCACTGGGGGTCTTGCAAGGTACAGCTTCTCATCCCACGATGACAGACTTTGATACTAACAAGATATACAGCGGTGTTCCAGGCGAGCTTCGTGGTCTTCAATACCTCCACCAGAAGTATGGCGTACTTCCTTGGCCAGCCGTTGTTCAACCAGCAATTAAGACCGCGGATGAGGGCTTTCCGGTTGGCCCGGATCTAGTACGCTACATGGCTTCCTCGATCACCGACGCGGGCGGCGACGACTTCTTGTCTAATGACCCGACATGGGCAATTGACTTTGCTCCCAACGGAACTAGACTCGGCCTCGGCGATACCATGACACGGAAGCGTTATGCCAGCACCCTCGGGATGATCGCTGAGAAGGGCGTCGATGCATTCTACTCTGGATTTATTGCAGAGACGATGGTCAATGCGGTACAAGCAGCTAATGGCACAATGACTCTTGATGACCTTCGTAGCTATGCCATTGAAATCCGGAACATCTCACAGATAGACTATCGTGGATACCGAATTACCAGCACCACTGCTCCATCTAGTGGAATTGTTGCACTGAACATACTCAAAGTTTTGGACACCTACGACAGCTTCCTCGCCCCAGACAATGTGAACCTGAGTATTCATCGGCTGGATGAAGCCATTCGGTTCGGATACGGACTGGTACGTCTCACCTCCTTCTGGACAAATAATGTCAGGGTCTGTGTGACTGTGGGCTGATTCTATGATAGCGAACAAACCTGGGAGACCCTGACTTTGTGGACGACATGGGAGAATACCAGGGTAACATGCTTGAGCAATCTACTATTGATGAAATCCGGGCGAAGATCTCCGACTCTAAGACGCAAGATATAAATGCATACGACCCGCGAGGTATTGAAAGCTTGGATACGTGCGTACCTCATTGACACGTCTTCTGAACCAAGCTAATGGTGTCTGTAGCCCGGGAACCTCTCATATTGCTACTATCGATCACGAAGGTCTTACTGTATCTGCAATCACCACGATCAACTTGCTTTTTGGGAGCAAGATTATGGTCCCCGAGACAGGAATTATCATGAACAACGAGATGGATGGTAGGTGAAGGCAACCAGACCTTATATCTTCTCTGCTAATTTACTTCTCAAGACTTCTCTATTCCTGGCTCATCCAACTCGTTCGGATATGTTCCCTCTGAGGCGAACTTCATCCGACCTGGAAAGCGCCCGTTGTCGTCAAGTACGCCAGCCATCGTGACTCACCCTAACGGCACTGTCTTTTTCGTGGCTGGCTCGGCGGGCGGCAGTCGGATCATCACCGCGACCATCCAGAACATCATCCACGCTGTTGATGGTGGTCTCGCGGCGGCTGAAGCTCTGGCTCAGCCTCGTCTGCATGATCAGCTGATCCCTAACCAGGTCACGTTCGAGTATAGCTACAACAACGAGACCGTGGCCTTCATGAAGGCGCGCGGGCACAACGTGACATGGGTTGCACCGACTCAGAGCTCAGCGCAAGCAATCCGTGTTCTTCCGAATGGAACGTTTGATGCTGCTGGGGAGCCCAGGCAGCTGGACTCGGGAGGATTTGCCGTCTGATCGAGTCACTCGTTACCTACGCGGCCCGCGGTCCGGGACTGGCCGCCACATACTGTGAATACTGGAGACTAAGAAGTATATACAAGCATGTAGAGCTTGGATGCCATCTCCTTCGAGAACAGAACCCCGACCCACGGATTCACTATGCGATAGAAATTCATAGATCTTGACGATGAACGAAACCGAGAGCGGGGATGTAGTCGGTCTGATCGAACTCGACAAGAAAGGGACGCTGAACTTGGTCAAAGAAGTCGAAGGGTGCACCAAAAAAGCAATCACTTCGTACAGTTGACTTTTCTTCGTAGTACGTAGTACGATGACGATGATGGGCGCCATCTCTTCCGCAGCCCAACGTAGCCTGAGGCATCCCAGGATCCCCGCCAGAAGCGGTGATGCCTGAGGTGTAGGTGTCGAATGTACCGCTAAGTTTCGGTGGTGAGGTTGATGACGATAATGTTGCTGTTGGTTGGTCTTAATCACGACACCTTCCATTGATTGTCCTGGAACTCTTATCTACGGTCGAGACCTGGTCCGTTAAAATGACCGATCACTTGATTTATTCTAATGTGTGAATTGAGGTGGTGCTTCATGCAAGTAGTCTAGTGAACCCCTCCTCGCTGCCCGCTAGAATACTACGTACTGTACTAGTGTGGTTAGTGGCTCTTTAGTCCACAGTTCATAGGGAGTTTCGGGGACCCTTCATCGGGTTGCAATAATCGAACGAGTTGGAGAGGAGTCTGCGGGGAGGAGTCAATCAGTGTGTCTGTCTTCTCTTTCTTTTCAGTCTAGTCGCTCTCACCGCAAAATCGATCCTCCCGCCAAATCTCCTCCCATGCACAGTCACTGCATTCTGCAATTCTCTCCTTCTTTGGATCATCAACTCACTATACTGCACGATATCCCAACAATTGATTCGTCACTTCTCTTTATTTTTCTGTTCAAGCGCCTGAACTATCTTCCAATTTCCGCCCTCCCCGACCCTTATCGTTCGTTTCCCTCCGCGCCCCTCACGGGATGCTGCATCGGTTGCAGCAGCCCCCTCGGTGGATTGACACAGGCGCCTAATTGGGCATTCGACCACTGGGAGTTGCGTTTGGTTCCAGATCTCTTAAGCGCCAGACGACGAAAGTCCTCCGGCTCTCGGATCATCTGGACCTTCTTCTCGCATTGTGACACCACACAAACTCTTTCTTCTTTTGCTCGCCGTGAGAGCTGCTTAGCCGGGCCTCTCATCCCGCCTTCGCGATCTATAACTCGAGGTAACTACTACAAACGCAATACAACCCGATCGAAAGCGAAAAGTGGGGACGAAGAGCAAGGAGACAAGGGGTTGTGTTGAGGGGGGGAAGATTGTCTTCCAACCTTCCATATCCACCTCGATTCGAAGCCTTCCGCCTGAATTCACACCCACACCCACGTCATGTTCCATCTACCGTTGAGACCTAATGACCGAGATCGCGACAGGGACCGGACTCGCAAGGCATCGACTTCCTCGAGCGTCTCTTCCAAATCCAAACAACACAAGCACCGCTCGTCCCACGGACCATCGTCTACCCGCTCCCCAACCAAGGAACGACCTCCCGACCCTCCCACGGACCGCTCCTCGACCCCTTCGCTCTCCGCCTCTAATACAAGCCAGCAACGTCGTGCCTCGATGCCCGGCATAGACAGCGCCAGCCGTTCCGGCACGGCGTCCTTCCTCGAATCGAGAACCAGCCTCCCTTATCCGACCTTCTCCAAGGCTCACAGCAGGGAAGCTGTCGGCAAACCGAACATCCCGACCCCAGATCCGACCGACCTGACCGACCAAGGCAAAGAGGCAGCTGACGGAGGAAGCCATGATCGATCGGACAGCAACAAGCATGCGCCCCCGAGTCCCCCATTGACGAGCGTCGACCAGCAATCCCGCCAAGGCAGCACGGTCTGTGATAATAAAGATGCGAAGAATACAGAGGAGAAACCGAAGACCAAGATCCGGATTCGAGCCGAATCCACTCGCTCGTCCTCGAGTCTGCGGTCAAAGAAGGATGAAGGGACCAAGTCAAGCAAGACAGTGCGATCGGATTCGACGAAAACCAAGCGCTCCAGCCATGACAAGGAATCGCCGTCTCGTACAGCTAGCCGCAAGTCCTCCAAGAGCAAGATCGTGGAGGAAACAGCGCCGCCCAAACGACCCTCCAGTCGCACCGCCACGACGCCGCCACGCTCCCCAGCAACCGTACGCGACATTGGTCTCGAATCAACAAACGGGTCGGAGGCTACGACGGTTGCGCCCGCACACCAGTCTACCACTTCCCGCAAGGTTAGAAGCCCGGAGAAGCCGCCTTCTCGTACCCAAACACGGTCGTCCATGTCTCATCGCCCGGGGTCCGCATTCCGGAGCCCAGTGGAAGCTGCATACGATTACGGGCGGCCTCCGACCGCGAACTCAGCCTACGGAGCCCCTCCGCCTCCGCCTCCGCCCCCCGAGGTGCCTATATCCATCCCGAAGGTCGACTACCTTTTGCAGCACGGTGGCTTAGATCATCGCGCACCGAAATCACTCCTTCAGAGTTTGAGCGGCTCGGAAGCCGCGCCGTATTCCCCAGCGCAGCCGCAACTCGTGGCGAGCAAGATCTTCGAGCCTCTCAATCGGCTCCTGGAAGACTATCAGCATGTTATGACGAAGAACGGCTCACTCGCTGTTGCAACGGGATATCGATCAGTAGCGCGGCGACTTCTCGACCGTTTGGAGGCCGTATTTGCTCGCGATATCTCGTCCGAATCATGCAATTGTCTGATGTGCGAGCATGAAGAACACGAGGAGCGCCCAGCGGGCGTGAGCTGGGGAGAGGTTCTTGAATTGGTATCCGGCCGTCGCGAGCTCCCCAACTGGCCACCCTTCAGATTGTCTCCGACGGTCGTGGATCCGGATTGGTCAGGTGACGAGCACATCCCCATGCAGAAACTGGATATCGACGTACCAGAAGAGTATCGGGAGCATTACATTCGGCAATCACGTAAGACGAAAGTGGCCGTGGATAAATGGCTCAGTGAGCAGTCTGGTGGAGGCACAAGCGCACCCGATGAGGTTGACGATGAGACCTTGACGTTTGCGATCTTGACCCATCTGGAGCCCGAGGAGCGGCAACTCTTCTCTGCCATCCTTGGAATCAGCTCTACCTCACCTACACCGCGGCCCGAGGGACAGCCACGCCCCCGACCGGCTCCATTGGTGTCCTCGACTCTGGCGATTCAACGACTGTACCGACTGTCATCCCTACCGCGGGACCCTGAAACTGCGATCTACATGCTCAACAACCCTGGCATGCACCATGTCCTTGCTACCCTAGCGGCGATCAGCGATGATGAATGGGACATTCTCATCTCCGGTCGCTTTGACGGGTTTCTACGCAGTGGCGCCGAGGACTCCTTCCCGTCCGGCTCAACCCCCTCGCGCTATAGCAGCACCCGGTCCAATACCCCGTTCACAACGGGTGGTATCTCGCGGGGTCCAACGCCCAGCCAGCTGGACGGGGTGTCCCGACCGGCCAGCCAGCCCTACGGCACGTCCCCGTCTCCAGCCCCTGCATCATTCGGAGGCCCCATCGCTCTCGATGAGGAGATGGAGATCGCAGCGCTGGCCGAGATCGAGCGAGACATCTACCTGGGGATGGAGGCGCTGGAAGATGCCTTCGAGGCCCTGCATTGCAAGGCCGAGGTCGTGCGCCGGGCGCTGCGCGAGCGCGGCGCCGGCCTGTCGATCGCGAACCAGAACCGCCGCGGCTCCTTCGTCGAGGCCCGTCTGGGCACGCCCGCCTCCGGCTTCGGGCTCTGGGAAAACGGCGCCGACGACGACTTCTTCCTCGACGATGGCGTGTCCCTGGCCCCGGATGATTCGGCAAGTAACATCAGCTCTAACCGGCGGCGTCGGCCGAAGCGGCGCACGGAACGGCGGACCCCGGCCCCCGTTGAGGAGGAAGACGAGGAAGAGGCATACGACAGTCGACGGGGGACTCGAAGGAGATAAGTTAGGTCGAAGTGGTTAGGTCCTCCTACCTGTGTTTTGTTCTCCGGGAGCAGTGGATCATCAGCGCTGTTTCCTTCTCGAGCTTCTCTTTTTCTTTGCATTCTGTCTTTACGATTTGTTTTTGTGTTTCGTGTTTTGTTTTTCTTCTCAAATACAGCGTTAACGACATTTGATGAGCAATGGGGATCTTATTGATCAGATCAAATTCCCCACCCCCGCGCGACGATTTGCATGAAATGAATTGACATGAAGAACATGGGATGGAATGATGGAATGGTGGGATGGTGAGGAACGGTGCGTTACGTTGATTTGAACCTATCTAATGAACCTACCCACCCATGGTGGGTGTGGAGAGAGAGAAGGCATGGATTAGTATTCATTTTCCCGACAGCTAAAGGGAAGGAGTTGGGTTGTACATGAGGACAATTGATTTGATATGACTCTTGAATCTTTCGACTCTTTTCGATTCTCTGTTTCCTTTGTATTTATCCTGCCGTTGTCATATTCTCCGGACATCTAATGATCTAATGTTTTCCCCCTCTGTATTCTAAAAGGCATTCATGAGTTGAATGAATATCATGGTCTATGCATAATGAGCAGGTTTGTCCTTCGCATGGGGGCTTTGATAGAAGTTCCGGTCTTCAGATTTGGGTCTTTCGCTCCAAGGCTTCCCGGGGTTCGCCGGGTCCTCACTCACTCCCTTTGTCCCAGTTCGGGCAGGTGTGCCTGGGGTTTGTGTGCCTTGGTATACGAAAGAGGGTGAATGAGGGGGAAGTTGGGGGGGTCAAAAGGGATGAAAGCTAGTTGCTCTGCTCATCTGATCATCTTCCCTGAGTTCCACAGCCCTAGGAGGTTTTTTTCGGCCTAGTAGATCAACTAAGGTGGGCCGTGGAGAGCCTTAGAGTCTCAACAGGGGGGGGGAAGAGAGTGACTGAGCAAAAGGGATAGGTTAGGGTAACTAGGCCGAGACTACCGAATCCACGCCTTGAGGTCTGATTCAACACGGTTTTTCTTTACTTTGGACCTTCTTCTCTTGGGGGTGATGTGAGGATCATCAGAGCTCGAGTTCAGAATCTGATGATTCTAGGTCGAGGATGATCGACGTGGTGTTGTTGCACTGGACCCTGACTCTGAGGCTAATGGTGGGTTGAGGTAGACTAACTGCCTGGAGTGTGAACCGGAGACGAAAGTAGTAAAGGGAGGGTGGGGTTTGTTGAACACAAAGGGGGTGGACTAGATGGAGAAGAGGCTCAGGACACACAGGAGACCAGGAACCATTTTTGAGTCGACGGGGTGTTTAGTACCCGGAATGGGGTGGTGTGTTCATGTTCTCGAAGTCTCCTGTTGTTTTGATGGAGAGGGAAGATACTCGCGACTTTGTGGATTAGAAGAATGTGGAATGTCTGCATTGGTCTCGCCGTGTGAGATCTCGCAGATTGGCTAGGGTTTGTCAAGGAGACAACTGTGTGGGTGCAGCCTGTAAAGTGGCTTGGAGTTACTTGACAGATACATGATCAGTCCGGAGTATACTCGTGCTCGTGTTGAGAAGATAGAAAGAAGAGGAGGTGATGGTGGAAGGACCCGCCATAGCTCAACGAGCATGACACCAAAGTTTGTCGATAGATATGATTACTTCACAGGCCACATGGCTGCGTGGGACCCTGATCTCATTCACCACGAGAGAGATCTCGGAAGCTTTCCTCCCGCCAGGCAAGGAGGTAGACAGACAGACAGACAGACAAGACGCAGGTCCGATCGGAAGCTGCCGTGCAAACAAACTTCTCCCTGCCTCCCCATTGGGCTCGACTAAAACTGCCGTCGGTGCCGCTAGCGAAAGTCAAAAAGAATAGCTCTGGGCCCCGTCTTGGGGTAAAACTAGTAATTATGGAAGACTATGGGAATTTCAAACAGAGTTTTTCTCTTTTGACCCATCTCCCGCCCTGTGGAAATTACCCTAGATGCCGAGAAAGGGAACTTCGGTGCCACCACCTGGCGGGGTCTCGCCGACAGAGAAGATAACATTGACATTGTATCATTTGGCTGAAGCATTGTCATTGGCGCTTGTTCTTTCCAAGTTGGACAAGCTTCTGCCGCTGTTTCGGGGGCACCTGGGAATTGTGGTGTACCGTGGACAAGGAGAGGAGAAGGGGCAAAGTTAGATGTCCCGTGTCTACTGTGATAGATACGCGAATTTTGTTGGTATTTGGTCTCTTCGGTTCTGGTAGAGGCTGAGGAGCCCTGAGATCGATCTTCGTGTGGGAAAATCAGGATGTGGTCCATGTGCCGTGTTTGATCCACTGCTACCACTGTTGAGGAATGCTATGTATGGAAAAGCCCACATTGCACAAGCAGTTCGACCACGATGCGATGCGATGCGATGAGATCCAGACCCGCACAGGATGCAGAACTTCGATTCAGTGAACCATGTCGATCCGCGAGCTTGGACGGTTTCTATATCGATGATCATCAAATCCAGTGCGGATGCAATGCCGAGTCGGAGCTGCAGGATTGAGAAATCCGGTACTATGGATGTGCACGCTCGCAGCAATTCGAGGTAGGTTAGGTGGGCTCTCGCACCCACGGCACGCACGACGATTTTACGAGGCCAAAGGCTATCGGCAATAACTGCCGATGTCATCAGTCAGGTCCTGGGAGGGTGATTAGCCACAGTGGCCATAATTGGTTAGGATCACTCGAGACATTTTATGAAGGCCTGAAGCAATCGGACTTGCCGCTTGGAACCAGTTGTCTTTCTCTACTCGAACCAGCGGGCAGTATTCCATGGAACCTGCCAAGAATCGCGCGTTGATCCATAAGCCATTCGACTCGAATTCGAAAGGGGTCAAGAAAGGCAGTCAGATCACAGGAGGCTTTTACTCGTAACAAAACTCCTATCGTGAGATATAACAAAACTCCTATCGTGAGATTGCGGGATTTATCTGCATTGTGTAGCGGAGTCCATAAGGACGGACTAGACTATGGGGTGCAGCAGACTTCGGGAAAGGTGCCAACAATAGAAAATGATTGTCGCTCTCGGATGATGTGGATCTGGGCTAGTCACACCCTAATTCCTAACGACGACAATGATGCGCGGCTGAAGAAACCGCAGATCTGCGCTGCAGTTTATCAAAGAACTTCTTCTCACTAGTGTTGTGCTCGTTGACGTTGGGAGATCAATTTGACCACCGATGACGTTCGCATCACAGATCAATCAATGCACCCTCTTCGACTCAGGATAACTTTTGAAAGAGCTCATAGGGCCAGCGAGCAGGATTGCTGGGTTAGATGCTTGAGTAAAGACAACCCCCCCTTACGACTTCTAACAGAGGTAATGAAGAGGGTCTCGAATCGAGCGGCGACATTCACTGCCCCTCGGAAAGAATTACTCCGAGCGGTCACAATGAGAGCCAGCTGAGTTCGGTTTCTTGCAGAGTCACAGGTGCCATAGGATGCACGATGCTTTGTCAGATGCCCCAGCTACCAGATCTCTCTCGCTGGTTCAACCATGGGAAATTCATCTTGACCGATAGCAGAAGGTGGAGGGCAGAGTTCGTGCAACCAGATGGTCCAAGTGCACCCCATGTCCATGGACTCGGGAAGATTCCGAAATCATCCTTGTCCCTTGCATGACTAGCAGAGTTGAATAAGATCAGAGCTTGTATGCATGTGTACGTACTGTGTAGGAGTTTCTGGGGAAGGTTGAACACCCAACCCACTCCATGGTGTCGGTAGAGAAAGGAACGTTCAACAACCGAGATCGGCATTCAAGCCACAGGGCTCTTATTCAAGCCAAGAGACAAGGGGGGAACTACTGCGTAGTGTACCGTGCATGTGAATCTGAGTAGGTGTGGAAGGGTAGAAGGAGCATGTCTCTGTGAGTTTTCTACGAAGAGAATGCGGTAGTTCAAGGTCATATTGATGATTTTGAAAGCCGACCAGGGATTGTGGTGCATTGAGACAACCGAGAGTTTGATAAATACTGATGCATATGCGAATGTACAGTGCAGTTCTTAGGCTGTCAAACTGGCCGAGCCATGCCCAGTCGGTTGACTCAACCGAAGAGACCAAGGCCTCCTGTAAGTTACTGTCACTAGTACTGTACATGCTAACCCAAAGTGTAGGCTCCACGAGCGTGAGGCAAATCGTATGCAACGTTATCAACAGCCCAGTACGCATCAGTAAGAATTGACAGCTTATTTGTTCCTGCGGCCTGGAAAAGTGGGGAGATGCCAAGAAATGGTCGGGGATAACCGCCCTCACCCATAGTAAGAGTAAGTAATCTCCGTCCGCTCCCTCCCTCTTTCTTACTTTCTCTCCCCCTGATACGCACTATCAGTTAATAATCAATCACCGCTAATCCCATTGCGAGAATGGTCCAGCTTCTCCCTCCTTCATGTAACCTTCCTGGTGGCGGACTAGCCACTTACGCCAGGAGACAAGCTGAGACAATGGGGTCATACCACCACCACCACTACCACCACTGTTTTGCTAGTCAGGGAGCCTAAACTATGCGATCGCACAATCCTATTCTTATTCTCAACTCTCTCGTTCATCCATCCGCCTTGTGCCAAGCCTCCGTATTGCCTCGTACGGTAGTCTCAGAGACAAAAACTTACTCGAGTGCCCCCAATCGGGAAGGTCACGTTAAAAGGCTGGGTGTGTGCATGTTTGAACTCAAGCCGTGCACGCTTTTGTCACTCGAAGCACTTGCCTGTGGAGAAGCATTGCACATACCGCGGTAGACTTTCCGGGACTCATTCAGTCCACACGCGACAATCTAGCCTCAAGGTGACGACGGGCTTCGAGTCAGACCAACGTGGATTGGGAAGGCGATCGGCGTCTCAGCTGGTGGGGCGGGCGAGTTTCTGGAAGGCGACAGCTGGACAGGCACTCCCAGGCTCATGAACTTAGTTCCCCCTAAGAGGGCATCTCTGGTCTCTGCCCTCACCGAGATGGGACAAGCGAAAGGCAAACAAACTCTGGTCTGGGGTTGTGGCTGCATCCTGCCACCTGCATCGACACGACATCTCAAGCCGCGGTAATCGATCCTGCCAATAGACATAGAGACTGCTTCCTCATCCCTGCTCATCCTTCAATTTGCCCGACGCTCAGACTCAACTCCAATCTCCCCCGGCAAACAACCCCAATGGGGGGAGGGGAGCACACAATAGACAATGCGGGCATTATTATTTTGTTAGTAAATGGTGGACAAGACAATTTAGTCCCGTCTACCCGTCGTCCACTCTCCGGATGCCTTCCGTCTCTTCCTATCCGTCTGTTCTCCACGGTTGTCCCCTATGCTTGGCATGGGGCTTGCTGCCAGGTCGCTGAATGCGATGTTCCCATGGCCAAGGTTTCAGGAACCACTTCTCACCGGACTAGTCGTCTCTCACTCACTCCGTCCCTAGGAGGCTAACGATTCCGGGTGATAGCTTCTGGGCATGAGTGAGCCTGGAGGATATGATGGGCAGCTAATTATCAACTAATCCATCAAAAAGCTTTACTAGAGGCCCATCTCCCCACAATGGTCCACTCGCCGTTGCCGGTAGTTTTAATCCAGTCCATACCGTTGTGGCTCGTCCCTCTTCGACCGCCACGGAGAATTACTATCTCCCCCTCCTCCTCCAACTTTCCTCTCATTTTTACTTCTGGGAACCTGTGATAAGCGTTTCTCCTGGATTCGGAAAGCGTGCAACGAGTGTCCCCCCCCCCCCCCTGATCTGAGCTCTTGCCGATTGTTGCACCTTCTGGTCTGTTCACAACAACTCAAACTTTGGGTCAATCCATCGAGCGTCGAGTACCCACGATCCCCGCCCCTTCAAAAGCGTCGTCCTTCCCTCCGGGGCGCTGCTACATCACTAGTTATCGACTTGAGGAGGGTGATGTGAGAGCAGTGCATCCGGACTCGCCACGTTTAGAGACGTTGCAATAATGAGCCTTGTTCAAGTACTGAATGCTCTGGGAGCATTCGAGGATGATAGCCACGGTCTCTCTCCTCGTACATACTTGAGGGATGGGGTAACGATGGACATCGATCCGCTTCCGAGCACTCAACGCAAGGGTCTCATTGCCGTCTCGGTCATGGCCATTCTCTCATTTTTAGCGACACTCGCTCTGATATCTTTCATCACCTATCGACTCGTTTTCTGGCGGGGATCTTATGCACGGTATATTGGTTACAATCAATACATCATCCTGATCTATAACCTTGTGTTGGCCGATCTGCAACAGTCACTCGCTTTCTTGATTTGCCTCAAGTGGATATCGGAGAACAAAATATCGGCCGATACTGCTGGATGTTTCCTCCAGGGTCTCTGGCTACAGATTGGCGACCCGTCTAGTGGTCTCTTTGTGCTCGCGATTGCTATTCATACATTCCTTTTGGTGGCCCTAGGTTATAAACTGAGCCATCGGGTCTTTGTGGCATCTGTGGTGGGGATCTGGGTCTTTGTCGCCATTCTGGTTATCATTCCACTCGCCTCACATGGGCGTTATGTGTTTATTCCCTCGGGGGCCTGGGTAAGGACCGGCATCCACAAAAAGCGGTTGTGTTAATCTGACTTTTTCGTTAGTGCTGGATCAGCGAAGACTACGAAGCGATGCGATTATGGACACATTACATCTGGATCTTCCTGGCGGAGTTCGGCACCGTATGTCTTTACGCAATCATGTGGTTCCAACTTCGCCGCCGCATCAAGCAGTCTGCGATTCTGGGCAATAGCCACATCGAGAGCCTCAAGCGCCTCCGTCGTGTTATCGGATACATGGTTATCTATCCGATCGCCTATATTGTGCTCTCCCTTCCTCTTGCCGCCGGACGCATGGCCACCGCACAGGGAGATGCTCCGAATGTCGCTTACTTTTGTGTCGCCGGTGCTATGATCACCAGTTCCGGCTTGGTCGACGCTTTACTGTACACCCTGACTCGCAAAAATCTCATCCTGGAGTCGGAACCCAGTCACGATAACAGCTACAAGTTCGCCAGCAGCAAGAACCGCAAGACGGACAACAATCATTTGACAACCATCACCGCCGACCCCAAATACAACCGTACCGACGTCAGTGCCCTTCGCATGGCGCGCCACGAGGAAGAGGATCTGGAACGTACCGTACGCGACGGCTCTACCGACAACATCGTTCAGCCCAGCGGGGTCGAGCTGTCGACCCTGGGCAAGGTGTATCAGTACACGACGATCGAGATCACCAGCGAACCGGCCTTCCCAGTAGAGGGCGAGGCGAGCGATCAATCAAGCAAGGGGTCATTCGATGGCTCTCCCGACAGAGGCAATGGGCAAGCAGCCCGCATGTGGGGAAGATAGAGACCGCAATGGCCGGCCGCCCCAACGTGATGCTTGTCCGATGGCCCGGACTCCTTGACGCTTTGTATACTCACATTTCCTTTTTCATACCATACATTTAATTTCACGTCCCTCTTTCATTCTTCACCCTGACCTATTGGCTTGAGACATTCATCCCCTGACTTTTCCTTTTCCTTCCATTGCGGGTCGATTGTCAGCGCCCCAACCGATACACAATACTTATGCCCATGTATATATTGACCTTCTGATACATGAATTCCAGACATATGATGAGATACACAAACCTATCATAGAAGTTTTTCTGTCATCCAGAAAATGCCATACATTCCAACGCCATGTTTGCTAAGCTAGAGCAGTCCTTAAACAGCGCTGTTCTTCAACCTCTCCCCGTAGTCAACTGGGTTAACATTTACTAAGTCATGCAAAGTGAGGTCGAGGTCATTCTCGACTCAAATAACTTACCATAACCAGATGTCTGAGTAGAGGTACCGGGATTGTTGACTTTGTGAGAGGTCCTACCACTACTGAGAGAATCCTCTGCTAAGCTGAAGTAAAAAAAGAAAAAGAAAAAAGGAAAAACATACTGAAAAAAACATACGTCTCGATAAAATTCCAGATATATTGCATGATGCAAGAACATATCTTCGATAGGATATATATATATATAATGCAAGAAGAAATGAATCGCTCTGTGCTGTGCTATCTACCAACCTAAAGCCCCTCCCAAATGCGAATACAAGAATAGCATGAGACGTGAGGATGATGAAAGAAGGAAAAAGCGACCGTTACCACTTCATTGAATTTAGCGGCATCCCCTCGGTCACATAACGTCATTGTGGTTAGAGCGCCGCATGGGAAGCAGCCATATAGGCAAACCCGACTCTACTGTCCTTGTCTTTTTTTCTTCGTCAAGGTTGCGACGGGTGATGATGGTTAATCGGTGGACCGGCGAAAATCACCTCCCGCGATACAGCTCGATCATCTCCCCTCTCACCTGTTTCGCTAGCGGCCACACCCGGCCTAGCACCTGCAGGGCCCCGACTCCGAGCTCGATGCGCGCTTTCAAAGCATCTTCTTTGGCTCCCTTGGTGGAAGATGCAGGAGCAGCAGGGGAAGAAGCAGAAGACGATGAGGGCGAGGGCACGCACATCATGAAGGTCGCTGTGTGCACGACGATGGCGAGCGCCAGGGCGCAGGTGAAGAAGGGGGTGCGGGACTGTACGGAGCTGGGGAGGGTGGCTAGATTCGAGATCAGGTCGGCGGCTCGGAGCATCTTCTGGGCGTGGATGTTGAGCGGGAGGTGGGGGGCGGGAATGGGGTTCGTGGGGTTCGATGTTGATGGTGCGGATGCGGATGCGGATGCTGGTGATGATGATGATGATGATGATGATGATGATGATGGGGGGCTGAGGACGCGAAGTCTTGTGCAGGAGGATGAGGAGGCGGGGTTAATTGCCGCGTTCGTGGTTTGCGCGTTTGCGCGTTGGTAGGAGGCGAAGCGGATTGTCGACTGGGGGTGATGGAGGTGGATAAGACTCCTATATGGTTTTGTTTAGTGTATGTGTATGATGGGTGATAGAGAAGTGGGTGGAATCAGAGAGCATACAGGTAAGTGATCATTAAGGCCTGGAAGGCCATCTCGTCGATAGTGGCTGCGTCGGTCATTGAGGGGGTTAAGGGTAAGCGCATGAGTAAGGAGACGAGCCGTGCGTCCAGCGTCTCGGTTTGTGTCTCGGTTGCAGGGTCAAGGGATTGATTGAGCTCGAGCACAGCTCGAAGAAACTGTACTGCGTGGATGCGGGAGACGGAAGAGGTGAGGTCAGATGGCCAGTCGGAGAGGGAGGACAGGGTCAGGGGTTCGGATTTCGTCTGGCTGGCTGTCAGATCAGGACCTTCTATGAAAATGGGGTCAGGGTTGTGCCTACTTCGTTACCACTACCCCCTCCTGCAACCATGTTGTAAGTCTCCTCGGGTAAAGGGAGCCACACATCGGAGTCCTCCCAGCCTGAAGAGAGCACCCCGCGTTGCCCGGAGCCCATGGCGGCCATGAGTCCCTCCGCGACGTAGAGCTCCCACCAGGTTCGTCGCCAGCTTTCCTCCAGTACGGGGTAGCCGTGGGAGTTCTCCGGGGCAAACGCCTGGGTCTGCATGCCGATGCTGTATGCAACCTGGATGGCCTCCCGGAGAAGTCGTCGTGCGGCCTCTTCGCCACCATGCGAATGCTCCAGGATGCTGAGTAGGAGGAGACCTTGGGCTTGAAAGCCATCTTTCGGGGCGGTGAGAACGGTGTAAGCGGACTGATAAAAGCCGTCCTTGAGCGTCGGAGCAGAAGTATAGTGACTGCCGATGTAGCGCATGATGTCCGGAATATAATCTGGTATATGCTGTGCAACGGACGATGCCAGCGCCCGTCTCGGTAATAGTATAGGATGCGATCTATGGAAGTGATGGTAGTAGAGCTGAATCATAGCATCATGGGTGATATCCTCGGCATGAGGGATATGCACGGGCGTCGGCGATGTTGGCGCTGTATCTTGATGGAAAATATCAAGACTCAGGTCAGGAATGTCGAGGAGGGAATCTGGCTAGTTCCATTAGCAAGACGACGTCTTCGACAAGTGCTTGGCGGAGAAGGGTATGTATGTACATCGAAAAATGAGGCATCCAGCCAGTTCATGATATTCGACGAGAACAGAGCATCGGCCTCCTCTTCCGCTGTCGGTCCAGGGCCCGTCTTGTTACTCCGCAGCCCACGACGTGATCGGACATATCGACAATCATGATTATTGTTCTGGCACCGAGTGCAGATGGGCATGCGGGCATCGCATTTCAGATGGCGGCGCCGACAGGGTACACAGGCGAGTGCGGAGGGTTTGCCGGAATCCTGCATGGTCTTGATAGATACTGATTCATAGTGCCAGATCCAGGGACTACGGCTGACGACATCGCAGTGAATTATAAAGGAAGAGCGAGAGGCGGTTTGGGAAAATGAAGACATCCACCGCAGCCAAAGGGATCTGAACCCCGAGATTTGGATCCTCAGGAACCAATCCCGCGAGACCCCGACTCGGGGACCATCGCAGATTGGCCCATTGCAACAGATCGACAGCCTTGCATCTGGAGGCTGTTCATGACTTCATGCGTCTAGATTTCCGGGGTCCATTCCCATCAGCGCAATGAAACCTGAAACGGAGCATTTAATTTTTTTTTTTTTCTGTTGACGCTGCTTCGAGATTGGTTCGGGTTTACTTGCAGCTGATTGCGACTTGTGTGTAGAGTAGAGGAAGGACCTGAACTCGGGGACCAAAGTGCAGGCATGCGCTGAGGGGCGGAGGGTGGAAAGTTTGTTGCATGAATGAAAGGGAGGAGAGGGGGGGGAGGCTTGCTGTGCTACGCAAGCCAATTTAGAGTCTAGGTCGGAGAATTTTCCCACCCTGGAGGGGATGAGTGACGGAATAATACGAATACAATCGAGTTAAGAACCATGAAAATGGAATGAAGTAGATTCATGGATGTGAGAAGGAGATAGGAGATAGTCTCCCCGACCGGGGCGGTACCGACTGCCCGGATCAGGTCACGGGACCGTCAGGGGGTTCCCCGGAGAATAGAAATTACTCCCCATCTTCCATCGCAATCAGTCGGTCGGGATCCATTTCCATTCCATCAACCTTGCCCTCTCCTGCCCCTCATCATTATGCGTCGCCGTCATCCGGGATATTGACAATTTATTTGTTAGGGCTCCACTACCTTAACACCGACTCGGGGTCCTGCTCATCCAATCCACAAATCATTTAATGAGGGATCAATACCCATTAGTCGGCGATATATCGGGTTCTAGAAGAAGGGAAGCCGACGCCTGTCAGACTGAGGTGGCACTGTGGCATCCTGTTTCTACCCCACTCGGGGAGCGGCTCTGAAGGGTTGCAATTTGCCCCGAGCCTATAATTATGCATTTCTCTTGTTAGGGCTTGCCTAGGATGCTCAGGGCGCTCTCATTTATATGTCAAGTGTCCTAATAATATCACCAGCTCGAGGTTCAACCTGTGGATCAGGTTCGGAAAGCCCGAATGGTCCCCGACGCCGCGTGGCAGCCCCTCGGTTCCATCCACAATCGCTCGGAGCAAACCTTGTATGACGAAGGCATATACTATGTCGAATGGTCACAACTAATACTTCTATATCATGAGATCTATTATTGAACTTGTGATCGGAAGACAGGGGGTGGTTCCACGTCATCTAAATCATAGATATCATGCTACATATATTGGCCGCTCAGTCGACAAGTCACAACTACAATTCACTGTAGTCAAATGTTGAGCATAGTTCGACAACAACGACGCCACTCTAGCGATCATTTGTCACTGTAGCCTCAAATCCCAGTCACATACGCCTAGTCAATAGTTCTGTCGGTGCCTTTCCGGTGGGGTGCTCGTCACTTGTTTCTGGCACCCTTGCCTCAACAAGAGATGCGTTGAGACCGTACTTCGCATGTCAACATCGATTACTTAGGAATTCCGGCCAAACAAGGAAACTGGAATGCGATTCCAGTTCTAATGTCTGGAGCCCTACACAAAGATCATTGGGCCCATCAGCCCATCCATGTGTTTGTAAGAACATTGCTCTGGATATGGCTCGACGCAAGTTGAGCCCCATAGATGTTCATTCATCAAAGCCAGAGAAGGAATGTAGGTCTCAGCTACATCCCCGATAAACCCGTTTGATAGACTCGGACTCAAGCAACACACCCACAGAGACAAGGCCCCACCATTTGAGCCAAGTGCTTCCATCAGAAGAAAACAAGCTGCAGCTTGATATCCTTCGTAACCTCCTCTCCCCCTTTATTCCACATACTCAAGGTCATGGTCTCCCCGGCCACTTTTCCCTTATACCTAAAGTGAAATCGATAACTCATCAGCAGCGATTCGAGGTTTGATACAAGGGGACCCCACCAATAGTAGGTGCTGTCCTTCTCGTTCTGGAAAATCTCGATCTCCTTCTCCCCGGAACCATTGGTAGACACCTTGCTGACCGTGCCGTGGTGGTTCGAATTGGACTTCACTTGCCCGCCTGCGTCCTTGGACCATTGAAGGATGACGGCCACACGGTCCCCGGTCTGGACATTGTCGCGGAAGACGACCGAGAACAGTTCGTTGGTGGCGTATGGGGAGTAGCTGAACTTGCCGGAGTAGATGAGCATGTTGCCTGTATTGTCTGAGGGTGTTGAGGCTTCTTATTCCCAGTGAGTTGCTGTATTGCTCGTTGAGTCTCAAAGGCAAGATGCTGCCCTTTTACGGAGCATGCTGTCCATACTTGTGGCAAGAATGCAGGTTGAATACCGGTAAATCTATGCAAAGTGGCTGACATTACCCGCATGTCAATATTATGGTTCTTGTGATATTTTCTGCAAAGTCAGGTCAGTCGATGTTACCATAAATGTACATCTCTGGACGACGAGGTTGGGACTCTGCTCCCTATGCTAGTCGGTTAGTAGTATAAGTCCGTACTGAATAGCTCTCCTGATAAGGATGAGGATAAGAGGCTAGAAAAGGCATAGACGGGAGCTGATCCAAAGACCCCGACAGGGTCACTAGCTACTCGTCCCTACGTATAGATATTCCACCATAAATCTGCCCGAGCCCCTGTCGACATGAGAAGCAGATCTACTCGCCAATAGTATCATAACCATTACACCTTGCTGATCACACTCTGAGTCTTAATGCCTGTGGCTTATGCCCACAGTGTGACTTGACGCTGCACTCAAGCTTACTAATCTGTTCATTTCACTGAGTTACGGTAACATACGGAGTATACTAGATAGTGATAACCGTCATACAGTGCAGATAAGTCGATGAAAATGGAAGGTGAAGGAATCCTCAGCTGTCTACTCATACATAATCTAATTCTCAACTAAACTTACAAGACCGACCAAGATCATGCTGACTGATCCACCTCTTTCCCCGCACGCGACTTGGTGTGTTGGCATGGCATCGTCCTTATTATCCGCCCAGCCCATTCCCCTTCCCCTCTTCAACAACAACACCAACAACCACCGGTTTCGTTCCAACCAGACAACATGATCACCCACATCGTGCAATTGCAATTCAAGTCTTCGACGAGCCCCGACCGGGTTGAAGAAGTGCGTCCCGTGCTGTTACTTCGAGCCGACCAACACCCTCGCTAACAGGACTTGATATAATTCGCTAGGTATGCAACAATCTGGTCGCGCTGAAGGACAAGTGTCTTCATCCGACCACCCAGACGGCATACATCAAGTCCTTCCGAGCCGGGAAACAGAATTCGCCCGAAGGGCTGCACGTACGTTGCACTCACTCCCTTCAGCCCTGCGAGAGAGTTGTTTTCTGCTTGGACTAAACTCTCTGTCGCAGAACGGCATCACTCATGTGTTCGTCATGGAGTTCGAGTCCGAGGAAGACCGCGAGTACTACCTGAACAAGGACCCCGATCATCTAGCCTTCGTCAAGGGGGGTCTGGGCGCCGACATTGAGAAGGCGCAGGTAGTCGATTTTACGAACGGCGTCTTTTAGATTTCCCGGGCGCCCCCTACCGTCTCCCACCTCAAATGGCATGGTAGTAAGCCGGGAGATGGCCCGCGCGGCCCGCGCGGCCGGGGGGATGGGGGGAATGTTGACTGCACGGACTGCAAGACCCGACCTGGACCTGGTCGTGTAAATAGATAATTCTTCGAGCATGTGCTGATAAGCGAATTGATGTTTCGTGGACATCTAATCATTGACTTGATTTCATTCGCTATATTCTGATTCGGCGCTTGAAACCCCGCTGCAGGTGACTCGGCCGGAGTGAGTCCTTACCGTGTACCGACCAAATCAATTGGATACATAAAAACCGGCGACACCAATCGTCAAGTGCGAAACGAAATTGCTACGGGTTGAATAACTGCAATCGAACCTCATTCTGTTCTATTGTATAAAAAGCGTAGCCGAGGCGATCCATTTTATTGCCAAAGTTGCCAATCCCCCGACTTTCATTCCTCCCACGCATGCCTTGTGTAATTGACAGCACCGAATACCTAAGACTGTCGAAGAGAGAGTTCATTTCGAACTCTCATCTCACGCACAGCGCGGTACAGCCTAATCGACGGAGCCCTATCCTAACACCATCTGTAATTAGGGGCGGCTTATTCCACCGATTGTTCGCGCGTCCACACCAGGCTGGGCACACAGAGAGCAACAGTGACCGTTGCAAGTACTGCCGAGTCAGTATTGTGCCTCCTACCCTATGAAGGCTAACTGCTTACCTGGTACGAATTGATATCCGCAGCCCAAGGAGGAACGGACTACTCTCTGGTTATCTTCCGGTAGGGTATCGACGTACTTGGCATCGCGAAGCACATTGCGGATGACCTGATCGCGTTAGTTTCCACTATCCAGACAACCAACCGCCCCAGAAACTGGACACAACGCTATGCTTTACCTCATTTTCCACTGACTCGTTCAGCCGCCCGGCAATGTCGTGCTTGAACCCAGTTCTCACGACCAAGGGTCCCATTGCTGCGCCCACAATCAAACCCAGCTGCTGGCTGAGGTATGCTCCAATCGAAGACGCCAGAACCTCTGGCGGCGCGCGACTGGACATGTCGATAAAATCACCGGCGGTGATGATGCCAATCGGCGTACTCATGGGAATCACCAACAAAGACTCCGCGACCGGATGGTCGAAATGCCAAGAGAAAAAGAGGAGGACTGATGAGAGGATGCTGATGACAGCTGAGTAAAGACTTCACGTTCTGTACCGTTTTGTTCTGCTCGGGTTAGACATGAATGGAAAACACAAGAGACGAAGGCGTCGTACTTACCGCTGGATGGCGAAGCCGGAAGCCATGGACCCGACTGCAAGTCCCATCGTGCAGAGAACGAGGTACATTGGAGCCGTAGCCTCCGAAAGACGCTTCACTTGGGTGGGGTATTGAGTTATAGTAGCAACAAGCTGCGCAGGGTTAATCATCCGGACAGATGCAAAATTCTCCATGTGCGACACTCACCCCATATCTCCCGCTGAAGATCAGTAGCTCCACCAACCAATATTGATCGATACCTTTGGTAGCCAGCTTTAGAGGCACCAGCGGTCTTTTCGTCCACAGAATCTCGTGCAAGATAAGAAGATTGCTGCAAGTGGTGAAGATCACCAACCAAAAATCGATGTGGGACATCTTGCCGCCTTCCTGGCCTGCAATTGTGATGGCCATCAACAAAGCCACGACCGCAGTTGCATAGGTAGCAATGCCCAGGTAACCAAGTTGCTTGATATTACCCCCGTTGGAAGTTTGGGGCTCGGCGGCTCTTCGTGGTGGTCTGGGAAGTATACGCGGGACAGAACCAAACAGAGCACAATGAGTGGCAACCGACCAGCAAACGCCCTGTCCTTGTCAGTTCCCATTGGATTACTTCGGAAGGAGACCCCCTTACCATCTCCAACCAAGTAAATTGACCACGATAGTGCTTATTGGAGCCCCGACGCCTCGTCCGATCATAGCTACAACGTTGGTGTAGCTCCGCAAAAGGGCAACATCACGCGGAGCAGCAAGATCTAATTTTACATTAAGTGTAAGCTAAACCATAGTGGAGGAAGATGACAACCCACCGGTGATGATTATCGAGATTGTGATGGCCATGCCAGCAGCGCCGACGTCACTGACGATTCGCCCTGCTATCAACCCAGTCATAGACAACTGATAGTGAATCAAAGACGACGTCCTAAGGTAACCGACCTGATAAGACAGCCTATGCCAGAGATTGAGTATCCTACAAGCATGGATAACTTGCGCCCCCATGCATCTGCCAATGTGCCATACTGTACAACCGAAGCTCCTGTTATTAATGGGTTTCATCCTATAGATGAAGAGCAGACACGTACAATCGGTAATGCAATGCAGTAGCCCAGATTATAGCCGGTGACTAGCCATGGGCCTTTGGCGAGTTCATGGAACTCGGAAGCAATGACATCGTAGGTCGCGATGACGACTGACTCGTCAGAGCTAGCAAGAAATGCCCTGGTGTTGTTAGCTATTGTGAACGAGCCCAGTAAGAACAGGGGCATACCGACATATGCAATGAAAATCGCTAGTCTGGTACTACTGTTGGTGCCGCTACTTTTGTCCTTGGGACTATCCGTGGAATTGGGGCCTGTTGGATCCCTTCCATTTCCAGAGCTTGCAAGTAATCCGATTCTTTCACTCGAAGACATGACATTTGTTGGGCAGATCTGTAGTCTCCGACCGAGGAAGACATGACATGCCAGCAGCTTCTGGATAGCGACGCCATCTCAAGGCTCTGTTAATAAGACTCGGTTGATGATGAATTGAGGGATTATTCCACTGATGCAGCACGAGTCGCCTGCATGGTACCATTATCAGCCAATCCCGACCTAATCATGACGACGCTCATCAAGGCGATCCCGCTGGGGTGAGTCAGGGAGCAAAGAGAGTCGGCATTGTACTCGAAGACCATCATCGACTACCTGACTTGAGATGGAACCTGACGAGGGGAGCTTGTGATGTGGTGCCGTGTGCTGCCTGAATATACAGGCAGCTATATCAAGTATACATCGTCCAGTCTGTCAAACATACTGCCCGATCTAGATAGCCGACCAACATCAAACTCAGTTTTCTTTGACATTCGAGAAGGGCACATGGTTGCTCCGCAATGATTATTTGGATTCGAATGCTGGACTATAAACAAACAAAGACAGGTAGACCAGGAGGGGTCAACACAGGAATGTGAATAACTCCCGATCGAGACTACCGCCCTGAAAGCTGACCCGGTCCCGGCTGCCAAGTGGATGTCTATTGCCGGTTGCGCTCACGGTGGTTTGCACATCGTGCTGCTCTCTAAATATGTATCACTGGTCCTTTCTTGAATGGATGGATTGTGTAATTCATAATGAGCACACTCGTTTCCATGACTTGTGCGCCAACCTCGAGTCTGCACAGTTGGTTTAAATGGTTCCAATGGCTTCCTACGGCGCGGGTGCGGGTGCGACGACGGGCCGTTGCTGGGGTCCATGGAAATGGGCGAGCAAGCAGGGAACTAGATTGATTCTACACAGTGCCTCCATGCAACCTTAAACTTGGTACTATGGAGATGATCGAGCATCTCCCCCTCGCTACCGGACGATGACAGCATCTTTGGATCCTTTAGGATGTTTGTTTTCTTCCTCATTCCGCATGCGTGGGTCCGCTGCCCTGTCGATCCCTGCCAAGACAGGGCCTCGACACATGGATTTGCTGCATCCGATAGCTAAACAAAACCTTGGGTGCAGCATATCGAGGCCGATCTTTCCATACTTGGTCAATCCAGGAGCTCGATTCCGGAGATTACTTTTCTCGGCGACAGAGAGCAGCTGGCGCACCGGGAGCAGTCAATATCATGGTAAAGACAAGTGAGTATAGAGCGTATGAACATGTCTTATGCCTCAAGGCATCTGAACTCAGTCGTCCAGAGTGAGTCTCAAACAAAGAGATGTGGCATGTCTGAATGCAGTAGGCTTGCCATCAATAGCATCGACAAGACTTCAGATGAAAGATCTCGGACTTGACTCGATGCTATGGAGGGACGAGCCGGATATTTTTGGAGCTGGTCTACATTCCGGTGCTCGGGTTCAGCTAGCACGACGTAACCGAGCACATTTCTCGACCTGATCTCTGATGATATAAGTACAGCCTGCCAGAGTCCAAATGGGAGTCAGAAAAAGTACAACGACAAACCCATACGACAACCCGGCCCCAGCTCACGGGCCGAATTTCACCATCGACCCAGCTTCCCGACTTGGACATTTCCCTTTTTGTTAAGGTCAATCGGATACATTCTGTCTTTCATCAGCCATGAAGCTCACTTACTCCGGGCTGGCTCTGGCAGCCCTCACTGGCCTCATTGAACTGGCCTCCTGCAAGACGGTGAAGTTCAATGTCGATCTAACATGGGAGGACGGTAAGATAGCTGGGAATACGCGCAAAGCCATCTGGACCAACGGCCAAATTCCTGGTCCAACGTTGCGAGTCAAGCAAGGTGATGATGTGGAGTTCCTCGTCAACAACTCCATGCCGTTCGAAACTGCCATTCACTTCCACGGTTAGTCGCCCTATGCATGGTTTATCTCTTCTCTCCGCATCTTTCCCGGTTCGTACTAACATTGGGGTGATAGGCATCGTACAACAAGGTACCCCGTGGTCCGATGGCGTTCCTGGAATCTCGCAAGCCCCCATCCAACCAGGCGACGCTTTTCTATACAAATGGAAGGCAGATGCATATGGAACATATATATACCATTCACACATGAGAGCCCAGCTCGATGATGGTCTCTATGGTGCTATCTACGTGGAGCCTGCGGACTCAGTGGAAAGACCGTTCAGCCTGTTGACCAGTGATCAGACGGAGCTGCAGGCGCTGTTAAACGCTGAAAAGAAAACACAGCCGGTTATTATCTCTGATTGGCGTCAATTCACTTCTGAAGAGATTCTTCAGATTCAAGAAGACTCTGGCTTCTCAAGCTACTGTGCCAGTTCCATTTTAGTTAATGGAAAAGGTTCTGTCATTTGTCCCGGTCAGGATCATATTGACTCTCTAACCCGAGCGGGCGAAAGCCAGGCATTGGGAGATGTGCAAATGAGTGATATGGGGTGAGTTCTGCTCTGAAATTCTCTCTCTGATCTTCATGCTGAACATGATTGCAACCAGATGTATGCCACCTACTGCGTCACGGTATGCACGATACGACTTTGATCTCAGCAAAATTCCTCAGGGCTACTTCGAGGGCTGTGTGCCGTCTCAGGGTCCGAACCAGGTGTTCAATGTCGATGCTTCCAAGAAATATGTCAGTTATGATGTATTGAGTATGGCTGGCAGTGCCTCGCTAGTGTTCTCCGTTGACAGCCATCCGATGATTGTCTATGCGGTCGATGGACGCTATGTGGAACCATCCACCACCTACGCGATCAACATCCCCGCTGGCTCGAGATATTCGGTGATGTTGAAATTGGATCAGCCCGCTGGATCATACACGGTCCGCGCGGCCAACAAGTATGCCAACCAGATCATCAATGGCACAGCGACTTTGACCTACACCAACCAAGGGTCTAGCAGCCCCAGCGTAACCAGTCCGCAGAGAAACGTGCCGACCACCAACAGCAGGCCTGGTTCGACTACCTCGCCGGGGCAATACATTAATGAGCTTGGCACTGTTATAGATCGCAGTAAAAGCATCCTCGACGACAACACCCTCGTTCCATTCCCCGCCGAGCCGCCTGCGGCGTATGCCAATAAGACATTCATTCTCGACATTGCTCAATTGTCGACCTCGTATGGCTGGAGGCTAGGAAATGAGTCCTATCCGATGGATCTCGAGGACGTTCAATTCCCAGCACTGTTCGATCCCACCTCGATCCCCACCAAGAACATGATCGCAACCTTGAATGATACCTGGGTGGATCTTATCATCAATGTCACCACTGCCGGTCAGCCTCAACATCCGATCCACAAGCACTCGAACAAGTTCTACGTGATCGGACAGGGCAATTCGGCCTGGACCTACTCCTCTGTCCAGGAGGCGATGAAGAAGATCCCAAACAGCTTCAATCTGCAAACCCCTCAGATGCGTGACACCTTCCAGACCCCACCATCCCTGGGTGCTCCCAGCTGGATGGCACTCCGATACCACGTCAACAACCCCGGTCCTTTCTTCATGCACTGCCACATCCAGATGCACCACAGCGGTGGACTGGCAATGGCCATCATGGACGGAATCGACGCGTGGCCGGACGTGCCTGTGGAGTATGAGCTTGCGGTCATGCCCAAGCATTAGACCTTTCTTTCTCTGTGAATCTTGAACAACATCTTGTACTAATCTTGTGAGACCACTTTCTTTGATTTTCCATGGTGCATACATTGGTTCCGGGGTGTCGGCGTTGAGAGGTTTACTTTCACTTTGCTGTTGTCTGTCATTATCTTTTACAAGTTCTGTTAACTTGAAGCCCGCTGTATATAGAGGTCTGCTTTTCCGGTGTATAGTGCTGTAAAACCAGTACAATATTACTAATGTTTTTTGTTCATTGAAGTCTTCTCCAAAATTAATCTCCGCTGTACTCCGTAATCTGTTCTTCAAAACGAATAGCTGTACGCCTACCCTGCATGCTACAGTCAGTGAGGACTTGATGCGGTTGAGGACCAGCCTTGTGCCTCAGGCTACAGCTTGCGACAATTCAAATTGAGTTGCTTCGAGTTCTTTCCAGTTCACCCATAGTGATTCACCTGCTGCTGATTCTCCCCACTCCCCCACCTCTCTACAACCCGCCTTTCCCACTTCCCACTTCCCACTTCCCACTTACCACTTCCCGATGTCCTACTTCTGACCATCAGCAATTGCCAACGGGTGCTTCTCCGCATCAACCCCTCCTAGCCCCGGCATGTGGGGGAGTGGAGATATTGATTGACCTTCTCATGGTCATAAATAACAAGCATGCCTCAAAAGAATCCAACACAGACTATCCTTCACATCAATACTATCAACCTCCACCATGACCACTACCGAAAAGTCGATTCGCGCAGCCTTCCCTGATCTCGAATGGCACAAACTCACCCCTCCAACTGACCATCCGACTTTCACCTACTACGGCTTCCAACCGAGCAAGGCCATTCTTCCCAAGGGTCATGTTCGATCTCCGGGGTTCCGATCACTGCCTACAGACATGATCTACGGCCGAGACGTGGCGATCACCCTTCGTGACGGCATCAAGATCTACGCGGATATCTTCCGGCCCGTCGACTCGGACGATGTCCCCGTTCCAGCGATCATGCCCTGGAGCCCCTACGGCAAGACCGGCACCGGCCCCCAGAGCTACGACATCATGGCCCCGTTCCGCGCCGGTCTCGAGAAGGGACGCACATCCGGCTACGAGAAGTTCGAGGGGCCCGACCCCGCGGAATGGACCGCGCGTGGCTACGCGGTCGTCAACGTGGACGCCCGCGGGTGCGGCGACTCGGAGGGCAATATCGCGTTCTGGGGCCAGCAGGAGGCCGAGGACATCTGGGATGCGATCGACTGGCTGGCGCGGCAGCCGTGGTGCTCCGGCTCGGTCGGCATGGCCGGCAATTCGTGGCTGTCCATCGCGCAGGTCAACTTCGCCTCGCGGCTCGCGCACCCGGCCCTCAAGGCTCTCGCGCCGTGGGAGGGGCTCACGGATCTCTACCGGGATCTGGTGTTCCGTGGGGGGCGGCCGCACAACGAGCGGTTCCACGCCATGATCCTCACGGGCTTCGCCGGCCACGGGGCCGCGGAGAACATGCCCGCCATGATCCGCAAGCGGCCCTTCTACGATGACTACTGGCAGAGCAAGCGCATCCACCCGGAACGGATCGGCGACGTGCCGCTGTATGTTCTGGCCTCGTATTCGTCCATGCTGCATACCCGTGGCTCCTTCGAGACGTTCCGTGCCGCCCAGAGCCCGCGCAAATGGCTCCGTGTGCATCCCTATCAGGAATGGTACGACCTCTATCGTCCGGAGATGGTCGAAGACCTGGCACGATACTTTGATCGGTATCTCAAGGGCGTTGAGAATGGCTGGGAGGAGAGTACCCCGCCAGTCAGACTCTCGCTGCTCGGGTTCGAAGATAGTGTTGTGCAGACAATTCGCGAACGGCCTGAGAAGGAGTACCCATTAGCGCGGCAGGAACTGAAGAAGTTCTATCTCAGGCCGGAGACCATGACGTTGCAGCCACAGCAGCCAGTTGCCGTATCATCCGTCGCACATGCAGGACACGACCTGAAAGCCAGCTCGGTGAGCACTTCCCCATGAATCTTCTCTAATCACGCACTAACCGCTTGCACCGTCCAGGATTTCGTTCTATACTTTGACCAATACACCGAACTCGCCGGATACCCGCAGGTCCGTCTCTGGATGTCCTGTCCAGACCACGATGACCTGGACGTCGCGGTGCAAATCCGCAAAATCAACCGCGACGGCAAGCTCCTCGAGCATCTCAATTATCCGTGTCCCGTGCCGGCGACGGAAGTCCCGAATGTGAATACCGTCAAAACCCTGGGCCCGTCGGGCTTCCTGCGCGCCTCGCACGCGGTCACTCGCGATCATGATGATGAAGCCCGATCGACCGCGGAAGAGATCATGTACCGGCATGATCGACGGGAGCCGATTGCCCCCGGGACCATTGTACCATTGGACATCGGTCTCTGGCCGATGGGCATGGTCTTTGGGCCCGGGGAGGGCATCGTGCTCCGTGTGTCGGGCCACGATATGTGTTTCCCGGAGGTGGACTTCATGCGGCCGACGGAGCCGGACGATGAGAATCAAGGGGCCCATGTGGTTTACGGGGGAGGCGAGTATGCTTCGTATCTGGTGTTGCCTTTTGTGTGAGTCGTGTAGAGTTGGTTGTGGGAACAAACAGTATCACTCCTTGGGCTCTGGTATCCGACAGACCACCAACTCGAACAGATAAGGGGGGCGATCCGAATTGATCGACCAGGTTGTTCATTTCAAGACGACCATCAAACAAAGTCAATGCGCAATTGACAGGACAGCCTGATCCACTCATCCCGTTCCTGGTACTGGTACTTCTGCGCCATGGCGTCCGATGTCCGATCTAGCCTTATTTTGATTCACTGTGCTGTACTTTTGTGTCTGAAAATCCACTAGGGAGAGACTACTCCGAAGGGAAGATGACAGCAGTTCTGTGCGGGAAACCGACGTATGATCCAGGCTAGACTCCTGCGAGATTCGACGATCACAGTTGTGAAAACCACCAAAGCACTCTCGAGGGACTAGAAAGGGAATAGGTACAGTACTGTAGCGTACTGAAATCCAGAAACTATGGAAGATTATTTGCATCTTCCGATGAGATAGATCACAATTCCCTCCCACTTACCCCATCCAATGGCGAGAGCCATTTGGGAGGCTTCGACGAAGTACGCATAAGCGAGGTACTGTACCATTGTGGAGAAGGGAAGAAGGAGGTTCTGTAAACCTATGTGACGCATCATATCATTTCATTCCATGTATCGGCGCAGAATGCAAATTCAAACCACAAAGACGACCGGGGCCAGTTGAGGCGTCAAGCCCAGATCGAATGATGGGTCTGCTGCATACTGGAAAAATTGAGTGACCTACAGTACTCCGTACGAAGCTTCGACTTGGTATCTCCGAGGATCCCCTCAAGCCTCACCTCCCTCCCATTTCTTATATCCAGCACCAAGTTCGTCTAGGCAAAGTAACAGTCCAGGTAAGCCGCATTCTCCGTAATGTCGACGATAACGGGGCTAATGCCACGGCTTCTATCACCACCACCACATCAAAGAAGCGAAGAAGCAAAGCAGTGAAGCAGCGAAGTGAGGTAGGATGACTACGCTTGTTTGACTGAGGTGTGAAAGACTCTAGCGGCGGCAAAGCCAACCTTTTCAGCAAAGCGTTCCAGACTAACGGAAGTAGACTTCCGACACCATCACAACCACCACCCACTACCCCCTGACAATCTCACCAGAACACAATCCCCCAACCAGCTGTCAAACAACTCCCAAGAATAGAGTCGGAGTCGAACCTAACTCCACCAGGACCCGCCGAAGGTCCACCTTCCGGCCGAAGACCTAGCTTTACATGCAGCCTGAGTACTCCATTGGTAGCCCACATTTGGTGCAGTGACAGGTTGGGAGGTACGGGGTTCAGCTGAGGTTGCTTCATCCCAAACCCCAGTCAAGGGGAGTCCGGTCCGTCCCGGGACGAACACTTGCCGCTTTCATACTAGCCAGAAGCCTGACCTGCCTTACTGAGGGCCACTGCAATTGGGCCGATCATGGCCGACGGAGTATTCTTTGGGACCCAATTCATTGGGGCGGGGGGCTCATAGTAGTGGTTGCCTGCTCGAGGTTCTTCCTTAATCCGTGATCGGGTGTATCGGTGGTGGTGGTTGGCTCCTGGGACCCCCGTCGATCAACTCAGCATCCACGAACCATCTTGCGAATAACATCATCTCTCTTGACTGCAGTGTACAAAGTACGTAGTCGGGAGCGGACCCCAGGACTGACTAATGATACTCTAAGCGAATGCTAAGCGAGGACTAACGAGAAGACGTATCAAATAATTGTCAATAGCCTGATTCTTTTTGCGCTCCGCGGGAGCTTTTAATTTGGGAATGACACTTTTGTTTTCGGTGCCTAGCGAGTAGCTAATCCAGGGGGTTACTTGGTAGGTGCTGTACATAAGATCGAGGTTATCTTTTTCGGTCCGGTGAGTTTCGAGGTATATATACCAACTCGAACAGCAGTTAGGGATCTACTGTACTGCAACCCCTTCATTTTCAACCTCCAAGCAACTTCATCTTACCTTTTACCTTGTGACCTACCAGATTCTATTGCAGACCAATCCAATCCAATCCAATCCGCTACGATCCGTGACAAGTTTCCAAGTCCACACATTATTTCCATTTGTCTGCAAAACACCGTATAACCAACATGAAGCTCGTGTACCTCGTCTCGGTTTTCATGGCCACAGTGGCAATGGCAGCTCCGGTTTCAGGCACGGATGCGGTGGCGCTGGGCGAGAAGCAGGTACGTTGCTGAACCCTTCCGAGCTGGATGGGCTTAAAATGATCTGCTAACGATGAATCATTTCTACAGATGAACAGGGCAATGATGCTGGCCAGGAATGATACGCCTACCACCGGGATCTCGAAGAAGGTCGAGCAAGCGCAGCAGCAGCAACAACAACAAGGGCAACAGGGGCAACAACAAGGGCAGGGTCGGAATTGAGTGGGAGTCTGGTCAGGGGAAGAGGCTTGTCGAGTCGAGCCGGGGAGGGAAGAATATTCCACAAGATGATTGCGGACGGTGATGTTCGATTAGGGCTGCAAGATGGGAAGGGAGGTTTGGTTTGAGGCGGAGATATGGGTGACTACCTTAGGTATTTTTGCTGGTGGTTGACTATCTATCGTACATTGCTGGGATTCGGGAGAGTGGTCTTGTTTCCTTTGTTGGATGCGTGTGCCCGGATCGAAGGACTACCGGATTTGGTAATATGGGGGGCAGCGATGTGCTACTTGTGTCGCTTCAAGTTGATTATTGGGAGAATGACGGTCTCCAAACAAGGTTGCAGTGTGTAAGGATACATACTGGTACTTTACTGGGAGACTGGTTGTAACTGTTGTTACAGTTGTTTGATTGTGTTTCCAGTGGCAGCAATGGTTGCTTGATGATCTACGTGCGGGTCAGCAGTGAAAGGCTGTAGTTGTGAAACACCATTACATAGTTCGAACTAGGAGAGTTGACATCCGAGGCTTATGCAGAGCAACAGAATTACTGTCAAGCGAGATCTTGTTTGACAAAGACAAGGTGGTAAAGGTCAAGGGGCCGTGCATCAAGTTCCCGGTTGCAGCAGGAGTACATACGTCTCTACCTTAGGCATCGAATTCACCCAGAGCCGACTATTTCTACTGTGGTATGACCATCTTCCCGAGGTCAGAACCTCAAACAGCTATGTCACACAGATACTGTACAGTCCTGCCGGTACAGCGGCTCTTTGTCTGCCCACAACCCTTGCCACAGATCACGGCGATATGTCTCGAAACGGCCTTCTTGGGATCACCGAGAGTCTGACAATGAAGCTGAAGCACAACTCATGAGTCAGGCCTCCGCTTGCTCGGCCGTGACCGAGCACCACCTGCCCAGTAGGGTAGTTGTTGTGCCAGGAAGCGATCTCTCGATCCATGGACGGCCAGGTGGTATCGATCAAGCCACCTGATGCATGGGCGTAAAAGAACCTGTCATATTGGTCGGGGGGACTGCCCCTCTGAGTAAATGACATAAATGACATAATGATAGACTTTTCCCCAGATCGTGGCCAGGCGAAATGATGAACGCCTAGACTTCGTCGCCGTCCGGGGTTGGTGCGGGTTCCACGGCGTGGCTGTTGCATCCGGCGGCCCGGAGCCACTCAGCATAGTGCACAACCAGTGCCGAGCCATGGGAACCCGGCCACC